GTTGATATGAGTAAATAGTGGTATACTGCGACTGCTTTCATCGTGTCGATATAGTCTGGATGTTCTGGTGGTGTATTTTTGAGAAGTTCGGATAGAAGACTCTTATATCTCATGAGTCTTTGAACTGGTCTATGTATGAGTCGTTTTACATTTATTTAACATGAACAACAAACGTAATGAGAAGATCTTCAAACGACAAATTGTCAGTAGTTTCTGGTGCGCATTGGACCTTCACAAAGGTTTTGAAAAGATTGTTTTTATATGCGTTTTTAAGCTCTCTTTTTAAAGAGTCCCACCTAAGTGTATATTCAGTCAGTGGTACCATATTGTTAAGCTTCTTGTCATTGATTTATCATTTAATTCACAATTTTAATCCAAACAACAAACAACTTGAAGCATTACACCCCCAAACTTCGAGTCGTATTTCCACACATCCACAGCCGTTTGAAATTTATTTGCGTTGACACACGCCGCTGACATGACTTGTTCCACATTTGAGAAAATCGTTTGTGCAACAAGTCTTGGAAGTATTCGTCCACCAGAATCTTCAACGGGGACTTTAAAGAGTGAAATGACCATATTGAGGTGAAGCACAAAATGGAGTTCCGTTTCATATATTTCATTCACTATGTTGTGTCGTGTAAGTACAGACCGTTTGTTGTATAACGTCCGCATGAGGTACCCCCGACATGTCGCCTGGATCTTTTCCAACGAGCACATTAAACGAAAATCAAGTTCGTTGTATAATGGACTTTTCGCTCTTTATGGCTCCTTTGGTTTCCAAAAATAAAACAATACAATATAATAAATAGAATTAATAAATATGTTTAACCACAACTTGTTAATAATGATTAAAATCACTTTTTCCCCATAAGACGGAGCAAAATTTCGTTCGCAACTTCGGTTTTGAGTTCAACACCACTCTCTTCAACTTTCTCCTTTGTGATGAAAACTACTTTGTTGGTGTCGCCGGCAAATCCTGCACCAGGAACGTTGAGCTGATTGGCAACAATCATATCACAGTTCTTCTGTCTAAGCTTCTCAGTCGCGTTTTTGATCAAGTCCTGGGTCTCCATTGCAAACCCACAAATGAGTTGGCCCTCTTTCTTCCTCAGGCCAATTTCTTTCAAAATGTCTCTATTTTTAACCAATTTCAAAGTCATTGTTTCGTCGCTTTTCTTGATTTTTTGGTCAGCAACACTTTCTGGCTTATAATCAGCCACTGCGGCAGCCATGATGTATATATCAACACATTCCTCTTTGACGACAGCATTGTACATTTCATCAGCGGATTCCACACTCACCACTTTTACATTTGTAGGTTTGTCAATTATTGTCGGTCCTGTCACTAATACGACTTTTGCACCATAATTAGCTGCCGCTTGTGCGACTGCATATCCCATTTTTCCAGTTGAGTGATTTGTTATAAATCTGACCGGGTCTATTTTCTCCACAGTTGGTCCAGCAGTAACAAGGACAGTTTTGTTCTTCAAAATTTGAGGAACTGAAATACTCTGCTCAACCTCTGCTATAATTTGAGTGATGTCCGCCAACTTCCCAACACCGACGTCTCCGCACGCTAATCTCCCTGACGAAGGGTCGATTATTTTGGTGCCAAACGACTTCAAAGTTTGGATATTACGTTGTGTAATTGGGTTGAGGTACATGGTCGAATTCATGGCAGGACACACAAATTTGGGGCAATTTGCAGCAAGAAAAGAAGTTGTCAGAAAATCATCTGCGATGCCTGCTGCGAGTTTTGCTATTATGTCTGCACTCGCGGGACACACAAGGAAAAATTTCGATGCGTGAGCAAGAGAAATGTGTTTGATGTCGTACGTTTCTACTCGTTCAAAGTCGTCTGTTATACATTTGTTGTGTGTAAGAGTTTCAAAAGTATTTGGGGTGACAAGGTTATGTGCATTTTTTGTAAGTGTGACATGAACGTCATAACCTTTCTTGGTCAGAGTATTTGCAACTTCGATCGCCTTGTATGCGGCAATTGAAGCAGAAACCCCCAGTATGACCACCTTCCTATCTTTTTCCATCCTTTTAAATTGTTATATTCCGTTTCCAAGATCTTATTCTTCACAAAACAATTATTAGATTTTTGACACTTTCTTTCATTTGAATATAATCAATACATATTTTTAATTTATTTTTTGTTGAAAATAGTTTTACATTTAATTGTTATATTATTAAAAATTTGTTTTATATTAATTTTATTTTTATGAACAAATATTTGTATCTTTCTATCTTTTTCCAAGAAACTATATATATTATATAAATACCATTATGTATTACTAACTTTTTTCAACAAAAGAACTATATTTATATAGTTTTATTAATAAGGTTAGAAATACAATTTCTTTATTAAACATAACGAATTTACTTCAAAAAAAGTGTTCATAAAAAAATTATCAATTTTTTAAACCAAACAAAAAATTATAATGAAATTAATATTTATAGTTTAATCCACACAATAAAAATTCCACATTTTAGTTATACGAATTAGTGATAACCAAAATTGAGATCAGTTTCGAGTTTTAAAGAGGTGACGTTTTTTATTTTTGTTTAAATACTATCCAATCCAACTCAAAATGATTAAATGAGAAAAATCCCGAGATTTTGCGACATCAATCACTCCAATAGAAATGGAGTGCAATCTCAAAACCTATAAAGGCGGAACCCAGAACTTGAAAATATAATTAATGGGTCTGTTTTTCAACATCATCCGCCCGATCGTGAGTCTTATTCCGACGGTCAAGGAACCCGCGCAGAAAGTTTCGTTCAAAGAGAAACTCATGTGGACGGGAGTCACTTTACTGATCTTCTTAGTCTGCAGTCAGATTCCATTGATTGGGATGGTGAGCAGTGACAGCAGCGATCCATTCAGCATTTTGCGTAACCTTATGGCATCGAACAGAGGAACTTTAATGGACTTGGGTATCTCACCCATTGTCACCGCATCTATGGTCATGCAACTCCTCCAAGGTGCTAAGATCATTTCAGTTAATATGGAAGATCAAGAAGAAAGCGAACTCTTCGAAGCTTCACAGAAGCTTTTTGGCTTGTTGATGACCATCGGACAGGGTTTGGCTTATATTATGTCGGGGATGTACGGAGAGCCATCTGAGCTCGGTCTCTTCAACTGCTTTTTGATTCTCCTCCAACTCTTTTTCGCAGGGCTTGTAGTACTTCTACTTGATGAACTCTTGTCAAATGGTTATGGGTTTGGCTCGGCTATTTCACTGTTCATTGCTACTAACATCAGTGAGTCCATCATGTGGGCTGCCTTCTCTCCAACTACTTTCTCTATGGGCAATGGAACCCAATTCGAAGGCGCTATCATTAACTTCTTCCATTTGATCTTGACAAGACCAGACAAATTGGGCGCGCTCTATGACGCGTTCTTCAGAACAAGTGCAAACAACCTTTGCAATTTGATGGCTACGGCCGTTGTCTTTATGGTTGTCATGTACTACCAAGGGTATAAGGTGGACATTCCTTTGAGCTCAAAACAGGGCAGAGTGGAGAGTCAGAACTACTCAATTAGACTCTTCTATACCTCTAATATGCCAATCATCTTGCACTCCGCTTTGACATCAAACGTCTTCATCATTTCACAGTTGCTCTTCAGGAGCTTCCCAAATAACTTCTTTGTCAACATGTTCGGATCATGGTCCGCTATTGGTTCAACACACGGACAGACTTATCCAGTCGGAGGTCTTTGCTATTACTTGTCTGCTCCAGATAGCGTCTTTGAATTGGCTCAAAACCCTATTCACGGTGTTGTTTCAATTGCTTTGACTGTCTTGATGTGCACAATCTTCTCAAGAGAGTGGATCAAGGTGTCTGGAAGTGCTTCAGTCGACGTCAAAAAGCAATTGGCCGACCAAAGAGTCTCTATTAAGGGTTTCAGAGACGGTGAGAGCTCAGTCTATTTGTTGGACAAGTACATCCCAATTGCTGCCTCATTCGGTGGTATGTGCATCTCATTGTTGTCTGTCGGTGCTGATTTGTTGGGAGCTGTTGGATCTGGAACTGGTATTTTGTTGGCTGCCACTACTATCTCAGAGTATGCCAACACATTCCAAAAAGAATGGAAAAAGGAAATGGGTTCGGATTTCGCTTTCTAATTTGAATTCTCAAGCGGTTAAGATTATGGTTTTTTCATTGGTTTAATTTTAGTTTGTTTACTTCAATAATTTTAACATTTTCTAGTTTAAATATTAAATTATAAATATTATAAATGTAATAATTATAAAGTATAATAAGATTAAACTATTATATATAAAAATATAATTACATATCATAACTTTTGTAAACGTTATTAGTTGGACTGGATGATTTGATTTAAATACTGTGAAATTGTTTCTCGTAGATAATTACATGTAATGACAATCCGTGATATTCGTTATGAATGTGATATATACACAAACAGAATTGTGTTGCATATAATAATAGTCAAGGATGGTTGTTTTTAAGGATGAATATTTTTTAAACCAGAACCCGACACATCTACATTTTATTTTTTAATAATTTATTAATAAAATATACCATAAAAAAGTAAAATTAATTACAATTATTATAAATAATTTTATTAATGATAATGGTTATATTTTTTTCACTTTTTTGTTGAAAAAAAGAAAAATTAATGAACGAAAAATTGCAAAAAAATATTGTGATGTTTATAAAACATGAAATTTATAATTTAAGTATAAATTTAATACAGTATTTGTTATTATTCATTTGTAGTTAAAATATAATAAATATGTTATTCATACAAATTGATAAACAAAACTGTTTATTTTTATATCAAAAAACTAATAATTACCAAAAATGGAGCTTGAATGTGTATGTGACGTTTTTCAGAAAAAGACTGATATTACATTATTTCCCTCATATATTAAAGATGAGTTGTGTTCTTTATCACAATTTAATTTGAAACCATCGTATATTAGAGAATTGAGAATGAAAGTGGACACACCAATTATGTGGGTAGTGAAAAACCCTACAAACGAAAACGAATTTTTATCATGTGTCAATGACAATATTAAAGCGGGTCTTATTAGTCTTCTTGGAACTCAGATAAATACTTCGGTAATACAAGAAGTCAAAAAATTTGCATTTTATTTTATTGAACACATTCAAATTCAAATTTATAAAGCTTCACATACCAGAAGTGATGGACCAAAACAACAGTTTGTGTGTAAATTCAAGAATTGTCATTCTTGTATTTATATTTTCCTGATTAACGGTATATGTGAAGCTATTTATTTCAATCCATGGCATCAAGGACACAATGAAAACACAATCAAAAGGGGTATACATGATACGGTTCCAATTGAAATGAAACAGAAAATTGTTGATGCTACTAATGGCATATGCGCAGCACAATCACGTCTCAATAACAACATCAAACTCAAAGCACAAATATTCTATAGATTGAGAGCCAAGTCTTACAAGTACAATACAAAGAAACAAGCACAAAGTTTACGTCAATACTTTGAGTCACTCAATGACTTTACCACAAATATTTATACAGATCACGAAAACCGTTTTGTTTGTTGCTTTTGTGTGAATATGTTGTCTCTTAAAGAATCTGATGGTTCTTGTCTTGCTATAGATGATACTCACTGTACTAACAAATTTGGTTTGCCATTGTTTGCGGCAGTATTCAAAAAGAACGAAAAAACGCAACTATTGTGTTTTGGATTTTTACACGACGCTTCAAAAAATTCATTCGTTTTATTCTTACAAAATCTCAAAGAAGAACTCATAATAAAACAAAAAAATACCTCTTGGGTTTTCTTTTGATAGATCTCAATATTCAGCAGTTAAAGAAGTATTTGGTCAAAATACAAAAATTAGACATTGTTACCTTCACATCGGAAGAAATTTGAAAAAACATTTCTCGCAAAAAGAGGAACTAATTAGTTTATTTTTCGGGATGTTTGAAGAAAATGCAAATTTGTTAAAAGCTGAAGCTCTTTATTTAAAAAAATTAATAGAATTAATGGAACAACCTAAAATTGAAAAGGATGAAAAGGTAGAAGTTAATACAGAATTTACACAGGACGAGTATATGGACTTTCTCACAACAGCGATTGCCACTAAAAAGTTTCCCACTCAAAATATTGAGAAACCATCTCTAAAGTTCAAAGTGTTAAAAACACTCTTCGATCTCAAAGAGACATAACTTTCATCTCAAGTTGATATTAACCTATTTTCCAATACAAACATAGTCGAGGCATTTTTTTCTCATGCAACACAGGCATTTTCTGCATCAGTACCAACGTTTGAAGTTGCTGCTAAATCCTTTGTTGACTACACCAAGCAATTACATATCAACGCAAAACCATTCAGTGATACTGAGAGTCGTGCACTTTCCAATCTCATCACCACCGAATTGTTGTGGAAACTTTCACCAGTCACAATAAAGAATCTTCTATCGAATTATAAAACATTTCTAGCCATTGAACACCGTGAAATTGAAAACGGGTGTTGTTGTACTTGTTAAGTTTATCACACGACTGGTGTTCCATGTTTTCACATGATATATTGGAGAACTCTTGGTATTAACAATTATCAAGATGACGCATGCCCTCCTGGTTACTTCAAAGATATAAATGGTCTGGTCAGACCGCTGGTTTTTTCTCGAAGTGAATTACCACTTTTTGATGAAAAAGATTTTTTAGGATCTTTGATATGTGATGACAACTTTGAAGTGAAACACACAGTAGAAACTTTGAGTAAACATGATGACATGTCTAAAAGTGTCTTAATTGGCATTTTGAACGAAGCAAGTCAAAAACTCAATAGAAAAACGATATTCGAAGCAACAACAGAATTTGCAGAAAAAAATTTTAATGACTAAATCAGATGACAATCACGTGTATGACACTGATGAAATTAAAGATCCCAAATATATAAAATGCAAAGGGAAAAAAAGAACAGCTACATCCAAACTTGTCGATAAATCTCTTAAGTATAAAAACAGAAGTCGAAAAATATGGAGTGAGAAAAAGCCTAAAAAATACGAATGTTAATTAATATGTATTTTATCAATTATGTTTATTATAAATATAAATTAAAAAACGAAACAAAAATTATTAATTCACAGTAATGTGTTATTTGTTTATTCGATATTCATATTTTCATAATAATTGTTTTAGAGATCAACCCTACACAAGGGAGACACCACCAAATGTGAGTCGTCGAAAGTAGCCATCGATGCCTCCGATAAGCGAGATCTCCCACCGGAAGTTATACCGGTGGCTGGATAGGGTCTGGTAAACCCTAAAGGCAATATACTAGGAAGAGTAAGTCGAGCCTTGTCACCTCGCATCTTCGCCGTTCCAGCAAGTCCCAACTCTGTGTTTCCAAAGGCTTTGAAGGAAACGCTCTGAACTTAGAGAGTCAGATTGTCTCTCCATTCAATCATCAAAACAGATTCTTGCCATTTTGAATAGCACAGGACCGCTATTTAATATTGGTTTGGATAAAACCTGGTAATACCAGGGGCAAAGATGTGGGTTATAAAAAATAACTCCTCGGCGCTATGTAGACTCTTTAATTGTTATAAGAGTAAAGCATAATTGATTTCTTCTCCTTTTCATAATAATTGTTTTATTGAAATCAATTATCAAAATCAGTAACAGAATAAACAGTTTTGTTTATCAATTTGTATGAATAACATATTTATTATATTTTAACTACAAATGAATAATAACAAATACTGTATTAAATTTATACTTAAATTATAAATTTCATGTTTTATAAACATCACAATATTTTTTTGCAATTTTTCGTTCATTAATTTTTCTTTTTTTCAACAAAAAAGTGAAAAAAATATAACCATTATCATTAATAAAATTATTTATAATAATTGTAATTAATTTTACTTTTTTATGGTATATTTTATTAATAAATTATTAAAAAATAAAATGTAGATGTGTCGGGTTCTGGTTTAAAAAATATTCATCGAAAATTTATACCTTCACTTCACTGTCTGTATATATATTATTTAAATTAAAAAATTGAATTAATTAACAATAAATTTTCAAATTAAAATCAAAACGATATTATACTCTCATAGTTTTGTTTTTATTTTATAAGATTACTTAAAGATATTTAGTGTGTTCAAACGGGAATAGTACCTTAATTTTATTATTTTTGTCTGTTCAATAAAAAGGAATCTGATTTGTTTTCGTAAAAAAAATAAATATAGTTAATAATTTTATAAAAATATAGTTTTATCATATTATATAATCGATGTTTATTTCCTTCAAATTGCTTATTTTTTTGGCTCTTTTTCCCCAATGAAATGAAAAAACACAAAACAGTCATTTCTATTTTAAAATTTCCCCATTTTTTGTTGTTTCCTTGTATTTGAATTGGCTATGATTGCCGATATTTCAGTGCCGCAAAGTCCAACATACCAACTATGTAACCAAGTTTCATCTATTTTTAATCTCAGCCAAACCCCAAATGTAAATGGAAACAATTACCATACACCACAACTTGATACTATATTCAATAGTTAAAACACCTATTAAATAGCTATATTCGAATATGGAAATAACAGAAGCGTATAAAAGGGATATTTTAGAACTCAAGCCATATCACGTATGATAGAGGTTCCTCTGAACTTGTCATCATTCCCGGCCGACTTCTGTATTGTTGAAGAGAACACCAAACCACAATATAACCCACGATTTGAAATCATTGGACTTTTATGGATTTCACTTGCAGCTATTGCAGTCCCTTATTATATTTACCTCTCAACATCAGAGACTTGTTTCAGATGAAACACTCATCTATGTGTATTTCTCTACTTATATTTTTTTAATTTACTCTTTACATACATCTTAGTTATTTTACTCGTTATGTGTTAATAATGTTCTTTAAGATAATTAATTAACAATGTGGAAAAGTTGTTTTATTCAATCACTAAATGTATTGCCTTGTATGTTTCTTTCTTGATACATCTCTACTGGTTCGACGAAGCTCAAAGTCCGTCTTACGTTTCCGTTCCCGACTGTTACTTCGACTTCGCTCATGTTTGCACAACTGGTTGAACCCATTCTTTTGCTTCCACTCGGAATCTTTTCCACGTTCTATCTCCATCAGAGCAAGACGTTGCGCTGTCTCTTCAGTGAGATTAACATTTGATGCCTCCGTTGTGATTTGGGTTTGTAAAGCTTGAGCAAAGGTTCCGGCTTGAATTTCAAATTTTTCAAAATTCGACTTGTTGACTTTTTCAATTTTCTTTTCTTTTGATTGTGGATTTTCGACAATCTCTTTTGGTTTGGGTTTAATGGGATTGTCTTCTGTTTGATTTCCAAATATCCCCGCATACAACCGCTTCACTCTTTTCTTCGCTTTTTCATTAACATCCGGTTTCGTTTTGTCACTGTTACTCATCTAATCACTGGGTAATTGTCAATTTTGTAGAAGAGAATCAACCCTTATTATTGAGTTCATTCTTTTATTAAAATTATTAGAACATTTATAGTATTAAAGTAGTAATGAAGTACAATGGACACTTTTTGGCGTGCAATCACACAATTAACATTTAATCGAGAAATTATTTCAACGCAATTTGTTTATAACTATTTTTTACTAAGAAAAAAACAATAAAAAAACTATTTACTTATCACAATAAACATTATTTTTAAACACAACAATTACCGCGATAGTGAGAAAATGAGGTATGCGATACTGAGAGGAAATTCCGATCTAGTACATTTACTAGTTTCAAATTAATAAATAATAGTAAACAAGAACTATACGAATAGAGACCAATAAAAATGAAATTCACAACCTGAACTTGAAAATAAAAACCAAAGATGTCAACGAAAATGTCTTGGTCGGTCAAGTTCATAGCACTATTTAAAGAACTGACGTCGAACAAGGGGACACAAGTCGATGTCATGTTATCGAAAATCCACGACTTCTTATTTGTAGTGATTCGAGATCTTCAAGGGGAGGGTATAGCGACTTTTCTATCAGAGATATCGAACGGCCTGATAGATCAAATGAAATCGTCGGACACGCCGATGGATCAACTGTTGTCGATAACGATGATAGTAGATTTAATTATATCAAGTGAAATTGACGAAACCTTTACTCGAACATATGCGAAGGATATCGTCGACGTTCTTTTGAAATCGCAATACCCCGACGTCGTGAGTGGAGCAGTTAAGTTACTTGGTAAAATTGTTCGAGTAGCTCCTCATGATCTAGTTGAAGTTGAGCTCGACACTGCTTTTAAGTATCTAGAAGTTTGTTTGATGTATACTAATAAGACATGGGTGCTAGTGAACTGATGGACTGATGGACAGAAGGAACCAAAAACGACTGGCGCGATGATGGTGTACCACATTGCGTTAAACAATGAAGTTGTGTGTTTTATGAATCAAACGCGAATGATCGATTTGTTGATTAATGTGTTGTATGACAAGAACATCCAAGCACGTATTGAGTCACAAAAGGCACTTGCTGTATTACTTCACTTATTCACTGCAAAGGCGGAGGGGTTTGATTTAAGTCCATTGTATGAACAAGCTGTGATGTACTTGAAACGGATGAATAACCCTGATTTGCAGCATGGTGCGTTATTAATACTGACTGCACTGTTACACAATTGCAGAGAATTCATGGTCTCCAAATTCAAAGAGGTTCTTCAGATATTCTTGAATAACAGAGAGAATAAAATAGTGATCATTAAGAAGACGATCTTACAATCCCTTGCTGAATTTGCGAATTTTGACCCAACAAGCTTTGCACCAAAGAATGAGGTGGTGGCCGAATTGTATAATAAAGATATCCGAACCGGACAGGAATTCAATTCACCGGAGAATGACGATGTGAGAAGAGTGAAAGTTCAAGAGCCGTTGAGTGGTGTGATGAATTACTTGGTGAATTGCACGCGAAATTTTCCAGAGAAGAATATAGTGTTTAGTGTGATAGGAGACATCGCCCGAGAAGTGAAGAGCGAGATGTACCCGTACTTGGAGAATGTCTTTACGCAGATTAAAAGCATTGTATTGTCGAAGGAAAAGCAGTCTGAAGTGTTAAATGCGGTGATGTATTGTACACAGCAGTTGATTGAGTTTATTCCAGTGCCAAGGGTATTTACACTGTTCTATCAAATCTATCCCAATCTCCTTGAAAATGGCATTTCCCAGAATTTGGTGTCACTTGTGAAAAAGGCGTGTGATGTGTGTAGTAACCCATCTTATCGTCACCAAATACAGAAAATGCTGTTGGACTCGATATGTGGAATTTTGTTGGGAAAGGCGTACATTCCTTTTGGAGCGCCAGAACACTTGAAAATGTTTAACAAAGTCATTGTGCCCTCTTTAGATAATTCGGAACAAATCATACTCGCACTGAATACACTTCATTCGTTTAAGTTTAAAGACAATATCATTCCCGTTGTCAAGGAATGTATCATGAAATTCATCGATTCTGAAGACAAAGGAATCAGAAAGGAATCTGCAATGCTCATTAAAGTACTTTTGCCTCCTTTGGATGAAACTAAGAAAGTTGTCTCGACACTGAACGTCATTGATGTGCTTGAGAAAATTCTTGAACATGGACTATCGGATGGCGAGACGGAAATTCGGCTCACCATTGTGAAGTTACTTGATGAACGATTTGATAACTTCTTGGCACAATCGAAGAAGATTCAAACGATGTTTGTTGTACTGAACGACGAGAATTTAAAAGTCAGAGAACAAGCAATTTGTATTATTGGAAGACTCACGAAGTATAACCCCGCCTTTGTTATGCCATCGTTTAGAAAGACGATCATTCGGCTTTTGACGCAATTGAAATACTCCTCCGACTTGAAAACAAATGAAGAGGCATCTTTGTTAATGGGAAGACTTATTAAGTCGTCAGAACGACTCATTAAACCTTATGTCGAGCCATTACTTGAAGATTTATTACCAAAGCTTGAAGAATCTATTGATAAATCACACGGAGAGACTTGTATATATCTGCTGAATGCGATTGGTGACTTGACGACGATTGGAAACGACTTGAGTGCGTTTGTGAAGAGGTTGATGAAGTGTATGATCACTGTGTTGTCAGACAAGGGCAACACACAGAAGAGAAGTGAGAGAAGAGGAGCTGCACTCTCTGCTTTAGGCAAGTTGACCAGAAATATTGGATATGTTGTTCAACCGTATTACGACTACCCGGAGCTTTTGGGTATTCTCCTGGACTTGGCGAGTAACGAGAGAACGCAAAGCATTAAATTGGAGTTGATCAAGGTGTTTGGTATCATTGGGGCTATCGATACGTACAAATATAAATTATTGACTGAAAAAGACAGCGCCAATAATAACGATGATCCAGACAATTCGGATAACATGTTACCAACTACACAACCCGGCACCGATGAATTCTACGCTTTAACTGTTTTCAGTCTTTTATTTGAAATATTGCGAGACAACAGTTTGTACATTGGGCACTCACAAACCGTCGAAACGTTTGTTGGAGTTGTTTTGTATTTGAACAAGAAGAGTCTTCCGTTCATCCCACAAATCCTTTCGATATATTTGAAGTTGTTTAAGACGTGTCTTCCTGGTGTGAGACCCGCGTTGATTAAAGGGTTGGCGGATATGATGTGTTTGATTGAAAAGAATATCAGAGAGTACCTTTCCGATATAGTGAATTTGATTCAAGAGTGTTGGGATGAAACAACAGTCTTACCAATACTCTCTTTAGTTGGAGAAATATCAAGTGTCATGCATGATGAGTTTAAGACGTATATGCCGAAGATGCTTTCACTCATTCTCACTGAACTGAACAAATATGTCTTTGACCAGAACAGCACTGTTTTTGAAAGTGTTATTAATTCGATTGTTGTGTTGTCTGAGAACATCGATTTTGAAGATTACTTACATTTAGTTATTCCAACAATCACTGACTTAGTCAGCGAACAAGTCCACCACTCTATTGTGTTACCAACGTTAAAGGCTCTTTACAAATTTTTACAACATGTCGATGCTGAAGAGTTTATCAGTCGACTTATTCTACCGTTAACAAGACTGCTGCCAAATCCAATTTTAAGAGACACAACAATGGACGTTTTCTGTAGTGTTGCTGAAAGACTTGGAAAGCCATTTATTGTATACCACCAAACCATTCAAATAGCACTGAACAAGTACTGTCCGAGGTACACTCATCAAAGGTACGAAAGTATTGTAACTAAATTGAAAGATACCCCAGATGGTCCAGTACTACCTTTGGATGATAACGAAGGACAGAATGTTACTATTTCGGAAGACCTTCATACCCAAGTCACAAACTTCAATCAAGACTCAACAGGAGACACGCTTTCAAAAGACTTCTCGAAGATTGTGCTGGCTTGGGATACTTATAAACAGCGACGGAGTAAAGAAGATTGGTTCGATTGGGTCAAGCAGACTGCGATCACGTTCTTGAAAGAAAGTCCAATTCACTCGTTGAATCTGTGTCACTCTCTTTCAACAGACCATTCCCCGTTGGCTCGTGATTTGTTCAACTACGCATTTTTGGCATCATGGCAAGACTCCACAGAGAACGCACAACGGCTTGTCTTCTGCTTGAAAACTGTTCTCGAGAACCAAAGCACTCCACCGGAGATTTTACAGATTCTCCTCAATTTGTGTGAGTTCATGGAACGTGAGGGCATTAAAGTTCCTATAAAGTCTCTTGGAAATTATGCAAAGAAGTGTAACGCATATGCGAAAGCGCTTCACTACAAAGAGGCTGAATTCTTGGAGAACCCAACAACACAGTTAGTCGAAGAGTTGATTGGATTGAACAATCAGTTACAGAACTACGATGCAGCTGCTGGTCTGATAGAGTATACCAAGAACCTTAAAAAGGATCAAGAAGAGTCTGAATTGAACCAGACGTGGTTTGAGAAACTTGGCAGATGGCAAAAGGCGCTCGACATTTACGAAAAGAAGATCAAAGACGATTCTAAGAACCCGGAACTTTTAGTTGGGAAATTGAATTGTTTGTATGAACTTGGTGACTGGGAAGGACTTGGAGAAACGGCAAAGAACATTTGGGAGTCTGGCGATGAGACAGTAATTGAAACGGCAAGACCATTATATGCGGCTGCTTTGTGGTACTTGGATCAATGGGACGATTTTGGAAGAGTTGTAGTGGAGATGACGGATAACAACTTTGATACCAACTTTTTCAGGACTATTAATGCGATTAACAAAGGCGATTTCTCGAAAGCAACCGACTTGATTCAAAAGGAACGAACGATCTTAGACCCGGAGTTATCAGCGTTGGCTGGAGAATGTTACGAAAGAGCGTATTCGACTGTTGCCCGTGCGCATATGCTTGCTGAACTTGAAGAAGTTATTATGTGTAAAGAAGGGAAATACACGCAAGACGCCAAAAGCATCTTGAAGAGTGCGTGGACGCAAAAGTTGGTGAATGCAAAAGCGGATGTCTCGGTGTGGCAAAAACTATTGAAGATCCACAGCTTTGTGTTGAGTGAGACTGAAAACAGCGATTCGTGGATTAAATTCACTGGACTGTGTTATAAGAGTGGAATGCCTAAATTGGCGATGAAAACGTTGGATCGATTAGCCGGAATTTCTCTCGACGAGCACTTGAATGAACTTCCACCTGCGAAATTGAGGATTGGTGTCCAATACTTAAACATTCAATGGAAGGGAGCAAAGGATTTGGAGCATCGAACAAAGATCCTTGAGACATTAAATAATTTTGCAAAGATCATTGAGACTCGTCGAAGCGACGACTTGGCGTTGAAGGCGGATGTGTCATCAAAACTCGGGGAGTGGAATTTGTATATTGCACAGAATTCGAATTCATTCAACTACGACACCATTCCACGGATATTACAATACTACCACGCTACTGTCCAATACGACACAGAGAACTTCAAGTATTGGCACAGCTGGGCACTCGTCAATTTTGAGGTGGTGAGTTACATTGAGAACGACGAAGAGATGTCCGAAGACACACTGGTCGAATATCTGAGAATTTCTATTGAAGGCTTTGTCAAGTCGCTTATACTCACAAAGAACTCGCAAACCCTTCAAGACACTTTGAGACTGTTGACGATTCTCTTTAAGTACGGGAAGTACCAAGAAGTCGAAGAAGCTATTGTCGAGGGTATTCGAGCACTGCCAGTCGATATATGGCTTCATGTCATACCACAGATTATAGCTAGGATACAGTCAAGCGTACCTGCTGTGAAGAGAGTGATGACCGATTTATTGACTATTATAGGTAAGAAGCATCCACAAGCACTTGTATATCCATTAACTGTAGCTTCTAAGTCACCGTCATATGACAGAAGAAAGACTGCTATGTCAGTAATTGAAAAGATTCGAACGGACTCGGGACACTTGGTCGAACAAGCTTTGTTAGTTGGCGAAGAGTTGGTCCGAGTTGCTGTATTGTGGCATGAGTCGTGGCATGAATCACTCGAAGAAGCGAGCAGAGAGTTTTATATCAACCACAACTTCAATGCGATGTTATCGTTGTTACAACCCCTTTACGAAAAGATGGAGAAAGGCGGCGAGACGCAAAATGAAAGAGGATTTCTCCAATCGTATGGCAAAGACCTTAAAGACGCGTACGACTTGTGTATGAGGTTTAAAGCAAAAGACAAGAAAGCGACGGACAAAGACCACGACATTGAAAATGCATGGGAATTGTACTTTAGAATATACAAGAGAATACATAAGTCGATCAACTCAGTGTCTGTATTGGAACTCCAACAAGTCTCCCCAAGACTCACGGAAGCAAGAGATTTGGATATTGCAGTTCCTGGAACGTACAAAGCACAGAACATTAACAACATCACACGTATTAAGAGCATTGTACCTGTTCTTAATATCATCCCATCGAAACAACGCCCAAGAAAGTTGGCGATTGTCGGTTCAAATGGAGTTGAGTATAAATTCTGTTTAAAGGGACATGAAGATCTGAGGCAAGACGAGAGAGTGATGCAACTATTTGGGCTTGTCAACGACTTGTTGGCAAGCAACTCCGCGACATCAACACATCACTTGAACATTTTGTGTTACGAAGTCATCCCATTGAGTCCAATGAGTGGGTTGATTGGATGGGTGCCACATTCTGATACGTTCCATCAACTGATCAAAGAATACAGAGAGACACATAACATCCCAGTCGATTTCGAAAAGAAGTTGATCACCAAATTGGCGCCTCGCTTTGATGACTTGTCATACTTACAAAAGGTCGAGATCTTCGAAACTGTCTTGGAGGAATCATCTGGAATGGATTTGGCCAATATATTGTGGCTCAAGAGTGCGTCGTCAGAGGCTTGGATGGAGCGAAGAACGAATTTCACACGAAGTGTCGCCTTAATGTCGATGGTTGGATACATTTTGGGCCTTGGAGACCGACACCCTTCTAATTTGATGTTACAGAGATACACGGGTAATGTTGTTCACATCGACTTTGGCGACTGTTTTGAAGTGGCGATACAACGAGAGAAGTTCCCTGAACGAATACCATTCCGATTAACACGGATGATAGTGAATGCGATGGATGTGAGTGGCATTGAAGGGACATTCAGAATTACATGTGAGGCGGTGATGAAAGTGCTGCGAATGAATAAAGACAGTTTAATGGCGGTGCTCGAAGCGTTTGTGTATGATCCACTTATTGTTCGAATACTTGGTGGCAAAGACGCGGAAGACGAAGAAGACAATACAAAGCCAAAAGAGAATCAACAAGGAGAAGACAGTGCGATGAAGACCAAAGCGGGAACAGTCATGAAAAGGGTGCTTGAGAAATTGACTGGAAAGGACTTTGGCAATGAAGTGGAACTTAGTGTCAGTGACCAAGTCGACAGACTTATTAAAGAAGCAATTTCCCATGAGAATTTGAGTCAGTCGTACCAAGGTTGGTGTCCATACTGGTAAATGCCAAACCGAAGTGTCATTTATTTTTTGTTATTCAATTTGTTATTCAAATGTTATGCAGTGACAAAAAGAATTATTCAGTTTTTTTTCCTATTTTTATCTTGTTTGAAGTTACTATTATTAAATTGTTTGATTTGTGAGGCATTTGTCCTTCAAATAAATCAGTATTTTAGTATAGTATATTATAAATAAACAATACTATAAATATTTGTTGTTTATTTCAAATATAGTAAAATTAACTATTAATTAAGTAACACATTAAAAATAGCAAACTACAATTATATATTAAATAATTATATACTTTTATATTGAAGGACCATTTCTGATAAAAAGTGAATCAGTAACAAAAAAGTGAAAAGTAAAAGCATTTTTTGTTTTAAAAAAAACCGAAAAAAATGACCATCAACCACCAATAAATAACACGATTTAATTACATAAACATCAGTACCAGAAAACTTAAACGGAGAATGCTCTAAGTTCTGGAGAAACGACAGACTCATTCCCAAAGACATTAAAGCGGTCTTCAATATCACTGTTGTTTCCAGAAAGTATGGAAAGAACTTCCAAATCCGAATCCGTACTTTCTTGGTCTTCGTCGATATTAAAATCGATATCTGTCTTTTTACGACATTCTTTCTGTGGTGTTTGAGAGTGTGACACAACTACAAGACAGTTGAGGCCGTTGTGAAATGTGATTTTGGAAGTCGTGAAGGAGGAGTTCATTACTTTTAAAGTTGTTAAAGAGTTTTTATATAATGCCAAAACAATTTTTTGTATTGATTGTTATATATTGAATGTTTTTTATATTTATCTTATTTGTTTTGAGTCTTTTTTCATACAATAAAGTTATTAGTTTTACAATACTTTCTCTCTATAAGAAATTTAATCAGTTGATTTAATTTGGTTGTTTTGTAATTAAATTCGCTTTTTTTTGTTATTTTTCTATGTTTGTTATTGTTTTATAATAACTTTTTTAATTATAAAAAATAATTTTAGATAATTTGAATTGACATAAAACTTTTAACAAACAAGTAAATAACAATATAGAAATATACAATAATATAGATTATTTTATTATATGAATACTATATTTATTAGTTTAAATATAATTTTGGTTTAAAAATCAAATAGTTGATGTTAGTTTATAATTTCTGAATCTATTCGTTTATTGTAAAATTGTTAGCTAAATATAATAAAAATTAAATAAATAATAAATAATAGTAAATAGATTACTATTATTTTAACAAAAAAAACACATCTTTTTATAATCTTAAAAATCAATTCGATTTTTTTGTGTTAAAAAAAACAACAAAATCAATTATGGTTTTGAACTATTTATTTAATAATAGTAATATATTTATAATATTTATATAATAAATTAAAAGACATCAAGATGTTTATTTTGATTATTTCTGAACTATGATTGTTAATATATTTTAAACTATAATTATTAAACTTATATTATAATTTATATAATTATAAGGATTTGTTTAATTTTTTTTTTAATTTAGAACGAACTTTGAATGTTTCATACCTTTAATTTTTATAACAATGCGATTTTCACAAGCAAAAGTGTTATACATATTGTTTTTCACCATCTTCACAAAGGTACCATTAATCTCCGAATTTCATTTAATAAATAATGATATTGTAAGTTGTGATATAATTTGCACATATTGTTGACAAAGTTGATGACTTTTAGAACGGAATCAAAACGTGTTGTTATGTCAAGTTTTTTCCAGAAATATACAACTTAACTCTTTACTTTATTTCCGACAAACCTATTAGTGTGATTACAAAACACTTATACGTGTTGTGATAAGCAAATAATATACTTTTCAACAAACACTAAAAGCTTTGTGGCAAAAAATCGACAACGAACAAAAAAACACTAAAAAATTACTCTAGATTCTTGTACGCATTCATTTTGTTTCGTCTTTGTTTAATGAACAACACTATTGCAACAATTGTAGATACTATAATGAGTGACCCAAAGACAGTACACATAACTATGATAGTAATGAGTTGTGTGTTGTCGTCTTCCTCAGTAGATGAACTGTCTGAAGCGACTGCCAAAGTTGTTAGCAGACACACCAACAAAACATCCACATATCCCATTCCTCACTGCATTTGATAGTTCTTTTTTATTAAGAAAACTTATTACCATTTTTTATACTTTTAGTACTTATTATTATAATTTATTTTCTATTTCAACTTCTTCAAAAACAAAATGTTCTTCCATTTTGTATTTTTCGCCTTGACTTCTTTTGAAATAAATATTGATTAATAATAATATTATTATTAGTATATATTTAAACTATTATTTACCATAATAATACTATATAATTCATTACTATTAAACATCAACAAACTGAATATTTGAAATGTTTCTTGCTCTCTTCACTATTCTTGTTGTGACAATTGTTACTATCTTTGTTTTGCTTTATTTAGTCCAACCGCACAAACAAGAATTTATGAACTCCGTCGAACTTAGTGAAGTCCCCAAAGACTTGGTCAATCATCTTAAAGAGGCCATTTCAATACCAACTGTTTCTAAGTCGGCTAATGAAAACTTTGAGAAGATGAGGGAATGGATGAAAACGACGTACCCAATTCTTTTTGAAAAGTTCACACTTGAGTTGTTTAACACAAACACGATATTACTCAGATGTGATGTGGAGAACACGGAACCCCTCGTCTTGTTGGCGCACCACGATGTCGTCCCGGCACCCTCTGCTGGATGGGACACAAACCCATTTGAAGGCACCACAAAAGATGGTGTTGTTTATGGACGTGGCGCGATGGATAACAAGACAGACTTTGTCACCTGTTTGGAGGCTCTCAATTTTCTCTTTGCGACAAACTTTAAGCCAAAAAGAAGCATCTACTTCATGTCTGGTGCTGATGAAGAAGTAGGTGGTACTGGGTGTCAAGCAGTAGTCTCTGAGTTAAAGAGACGAGGTGTGACGCCGTATGTTGTCTTAGATGAAGGGTATTGTGTGTTAGACTTAGAGAAGAGCTTTTTGAAGCGCAATTTGGCGCTCATTGGATTTTCGGAGAAGAGGAGATTGTGTGCAAAGTTTGAGTTAACATTGAGAGGAGGGCATGCCAGTATTCCTCCAAATCGAACAGAATCGAAAATGGTCAATCAATTTGTTTCTGCTATAGAGAAAAGTGTGAGAATAAAGCGATGGAATGAACCAGTTAAGTTGATGATAGAGGAGGTTGGGAGAGGACTCCCATTCCCTTTGAATTCTTTAGTATATCACTTACCCAAATTGGGGAGTTTGGGTACAAATGTGGTGCAATTGTGTGGTGAGAAGTTCAAAGCACTTGTTGGGACAACTTGTGTTATGACTTATATGCGAATGGGAGACTTAACTATGACAAACGCACTACCAAATAACGCAGAGTTTGTGGTGGATATCAGAAGTTTCCCAGGAGATTCAGTTAAAGACATTGAAGAGCGAATAACCAAAACAATTGAAAGATACAAAAAGAACTTCAAAGAAATCAAAATGGAGTGGCTTTGGGTCGACGATAAAAAAGAGAACGTATGTTCCAATTTGACTTGCGAAGGCTTTGACAAAATTGTCAAAACAGCCAAAGAAGTCTTTGGTAATGTCATAATTGCTCCGGCTTTAGTTATTGGAGGAACAGACTCAACCCACTATTTAGAAATATCTGATCGTGTGTTTAGATTTGGGCCTGAGATACTTTCTTTTAAAGAAATTGGGGCCATGCATGGTATTAATGAACAAATTAGAGAAAATACAGTAGAAAAGGCGTTCCAATATTTTGTTAAACTTATTCAGAACTGTTGTTAGAATTTCAATTGAATCTAAACACAATTTAATATTTATATGTGTTGTTTTTAATAACAGAATAGTTTTTATCCTATTTTTTTGAAACAATACAAACTATTTTTTATCAATTTATATTATTTCTTATAATATAATATATTATCTTTCAATTAATAGTATACTACAATATTAGTTAATATCTATCCATTTATTTAATAACAGTTTTATAAAATAAATCTTGTTATTAATGTGACTACAATAAAGTTATTTCTTATTAAAAAATGTATTAACACGTTCACGTTCCATTTATTTTTTGTTTTATAAAAAAAATTTATTGTTAAAATTTTTAAATTTTGCATTTTTTATTTTTGAAATAATAGTTGAAATAACCGTTCGCATTCCTGACAACATTTTTTTGCAACGATCTTAGTAAAATAACAATAAGACATTACAACAAAAACAACTAAGATTATTGAATTAATTCATTTCTTAACTTTTTTGAGATAATAAAGTACTCTGTGAATCAACCCATATTTTTAATTGGTCTTTATGTTTCATTTACGCACACCTTTCCCCTACACACATCACAAAGAATAAAATGCGTTCCGCGACAATGCCTTTTGCAGGCATAACACTTATACTACGGACAATACATTTAATTTAATACATTTTAATATTCATTAAACTCGGTCGCGTAAACGTGCGCGTAAATGACACAGACTCACAAGTCAAAAATCATGTGTCGATTGTCGATTTAAACACAACAGTGTTACAATCGACAACCTTATTTTCATTGTTTTTTAATATTTTTGGTGTTTTTACAATAATTAATAATTTCAAGATAAGTATTGATTTTTAAAATATTATTGAAAATAATTGTTTAAAAATAAAAATGCAAAATAATTCGATTGGTAAAGCAAAAAATTTGTTGTTTTAAAATGTCATTGGAAACAGAAACGTGTTAAAATCTTTTAAAATAAGAAAAACGTGAAATTCTGTTATGAAGCAAATCCTGTCGGCAGTTGAAACAACAAAGATTCGTCTTTTATAAAAACTTTTCAAAAAGTATAATTAATTCCTCAAATCAACTCGAAAATATCAATGGTGTTTACCATAACAGTTGTACAATCTGACGTTCAACCGACTATAGATGACACTTTGGACACAATAGCCCAAATGATTCGAAGCTCAAAGAAGAGTGATTTGTACCTGTTGCCCGAGTGCTTCTCAACAGGTTTTGACTCCGAGCTCACCAAAATAGCTCACAAAAATAATGGGGAGCAAGTCACGACGTGGATGAAGACAATAGCGGCTGAAACAAATAGTGCTCTTGTCGGTTCGATCTTTGTCGAGGACAACGGAAAGTACTTTAATCGGATGTTTTTTGTGGACAAAAGTGGTATAGTAGGAAAGTACGACAAAGTTCACTTATTCAAGATGATGGACATCGAGTCGTGTTTGACTGCTGGCAAAGAGAAAGTGATAGTCGAGTGGCGTGGTGTTCGTTTTCTCTTAAGTATTTGTTTTGACATCAAGTTCCCTGTATTCCTTCGAAACACCAAGTTAGAGTACGATGTCATTTTGAACGCCTCAAACACTGGTGACTTCTTTAATCACACCATCCCTTTGTTGGCTGGAGGAAGGGCTTGTGAGAACATGTGTTACTGTGTCATCTCAAATCGTGTTGGGAAAGACAAATTGATGAACACTTATCTTGGTAATTCCGCCGCCTCTAATTACTGGGCTACCCAATTAATAACACCAAGTGCGTTGCCAGAGTGTTTAACGTTCACAATTAATTTAGACGAGAAGAATAAAGTCATCCAAAAATTCCCAATTCAAAAGGATTTCGATCGCTTCACTTTAGAAAGCCCATACAAAGAAGTCTTTTATAAAAAAGAGGTTGAAGAGTGAATTGAGTTTTCTTGAGTACTGTTTATATCGCATGTGAGTTTATTCAACAACAAGAACTCGTTTTGTTGATGCTCACTACACCAGGCTCCGCTATCGCCTTCTTTGTTTTTGCAATTTTTAATACAATTTTTTCAAACGTTTCAACAACTCCTATAAGTTAATAATATTAGTATCATAATTTATAATACAGTAAAAAGTAAGAAAACAAACGTTTACCAGTTTTAGCAGAAACTTCACAATATTCACATAAATGATCACGAGCAAAACTTTCCGCCATCTGTGTTGTGATCTGTCTCTCGGTGTCAAGGTCTATCTTGTTTCCAACTAACAAGACTTCACATTTCGGAGAGACATTTTTGAGTTCATTGAACCACCGTTTAAGACTGTCAAAGGACTTTGTATCAGTCACATCAAACACTACCAACGCACCTGCGCTTCCGCGGTAATACATTTCAGAGATGCTTCGATATTTCTCTTGTCCTGCTGTATCCTTAATGTTAATTGTGATAATTAATTAATTATCTTTAATTAATTACCCTTGTAGATGCCAAATTAATAAAAATAACAAACCCATATCGAAACGTCTTGGACTATCCCATTCACAATGAATGTCCGTTTGACGTAGTTGCAACTCACTGTTGAATGTACTTCATCACTGAATGTTCCTTTGACAAGTCGGTCTATTAAACAAGACTTCCCGACAGAGGCATTCCCCAGTAAACACAACTTTGGCACGTACTTCTCCATCCTCTTCTCTTTGGAATTGAAGTTGTATTCTATCGAAGAAAGTTTATTTCTATTTTTAGTGATATATAAATAGATAGGAAATTATCAAAAAATCATCATACCAACTCCAACATACAAAACTCGATATTACTTTGTTGAGAGAAACTCAAATTCAAGTTCATTAGGTAAGAACATCTCCAACCTCTGTTTAACAAATTCAACACACGAGCACAAATTGACCGTCTGTGTAAATTTCATTGTGTTAACCAGTGGAGTGTTGTTGTACACCACTTGAGCTTCTTCACTGTCTTGTTTTGGGGATTCCGCCTTCACTATTTTATTGATAACTTTCATTGCTTGAGTGCTTTGTGTTCGAACGGGTCGTGGCTTACTCTCCTGATCTTTCTTTTTCTGTGTGTCTTGTGTCTGAATCTTTTTTAATAATGTTTCAAATGAACTTTTTTGAATGATGTGACTCTCTGACGCTCCAAATGTGTCAAGCGAAGTCTCTTCCATGTTTCGATTAAGTTTGTTCTTTTGCACATGTTCTATTTCTGCTGATGTGATAACTTCGCTGAGCTCCTTTTCTTTGTTGCATTTCAGATCTTCATTCCGACGGTTTTGTTCAGTATAACTGAGTTTGTTCTCATCCAACCCATTTTCTTCTTGCATTCGTTTCTCTTCATTTTTATTCTCCTTTTCAATAATATTTCCTTCCTGATCCTCTTCACTAATTTCATTTGCTTCAGTCATTTGAGTTTCTTCTTTCTTCACAAACTCCTCCATTTTAATGTTTGTAAAATTTGCTCGAAGATTCCCAACATCACTGTATAATATCGCTTTCGTAAAAACATCATCTGACACAGCATAGTGACCAACGTCAATACTCTCCGTATTAACATCTCCATCTCCAGTTACTAAACACACTTCCTTTCCACTACTTCCAATAGTTCCACCACATCCCTCTGCCAATTTCTTCACAATTTGAATTTTAGTTAAAAACGACCAACCGTCAAATAAATGGTTTCGCGGAGTCAGCGCAACAATTCCCCTTTCTTTGTGTTCCGTCTCGGGGATGAAATTCTCTTCTTTGGGAAAGTCTGTTCGCATGTCGTCCAAGTGGCTGAACCAATTTGGGGTGATAAACTTCTTGCCATATACTAAGGCTGCTGCGATGTCCTCCGCTTCCAAAAGTTTCTTACAAACAACGTGTGAGCATTCGTCGACAGTATTCACAAAATGACCAAACTTCTCGATCTTTGAAACAAGATTTGTTGGTGGTCTTATACCAACACAGAAGAAATCATAATTTTTGTATTCAAGTTTCAGTTCCTTGGGCTCTGATGCAAGATAAAGCTGTGTTGTTGTCTTCATAACAGTGTAGTGTTGTCCTTTGTGCATTCTGTCTTTCGACTCACCCAAATATGTTCCAAACGTTGAAAGGTCTGTAATTTGAATTGGGTTAATCCGGTCTTCTTCCTTATATTCTCTCACCACCAACATTAAATGTGTCCCACTGATGCTGTGATGTGTCATTGTGATTGTATATACTCCGTCAGCCTCCTTTGGTGATCTTCCAATACAACACTTCTCACCATTAAACAAATTGATTGGCTTTGTGAATGAGGGGTGATACAGTGTCCACACCATTATTCTATTTTTATAGTTCTTTACTAAGTTTTTTGTGATAAATTAAGATTATTAAATGAGTATTGTAATTGAATTATTATTCGTAGTAAATTGAGGTTTTATGTATTTTTATGTAGTGTTTGTAACATTTTTATTAAATTTTTTATTAAATTTAAAAAAATTTTAAAACAAAATTGTTATTAAAAAACGTCCATTATAAAAAACAAATGAATATTATTGGGCAATTTTTGTTAATAAATACTAGTAAAATATATTATAAAGTGATAAAAGAAACATCAACACAATTAGAAAATGTTATTTGTTTGTTATAAGGGAAGTATGAGGAGTAGTAGTAATAGTAAAAAGAGTTAAAAAAAATAGTAAAAAAGTGCGAGGGTTAATTGAAGAACTTGGAACAAGAAAAGCAAGAGGCCACTCGTACTATGGGAAGAAGACCAGGAAGATGTTACAGAATGACTCGTGGGCATCCATACCCAAAGTCTAAGTACTGCAGAGGTGTTCCAGATCCACGTATCAGACTTTTTGATATTGGAAACAGACAAGCCAGCGTTGATGAATTCCCATCCTGCGTCCACATTGTAGGGTTAGAGCACGAGAACATCTCTTCAGAGGCTATGGAGGCAGCTCGTGTATCTATCAACAAGACACTCATGAAGTATGCTGGTAAAGACACTTATCACGTCAGAGTTAGAATCCACCCATATCACGTTCTCCGTATTAATAAGATGCTTTCGTGTGCTGGTGCCGATCGTCTGCAGACTGGTATGAGAGGAGCTTGGGGTAAGTCTTATGGTACATGCGCTCGTGTTAAAGTCAACCAAATATTAGTTTCAGGAAGATGCAAGAAGGCATGCTTAGAGCCAATGATCAAGGCATTCAGACTTGCATGCTACAAATTCCCAGGCAGACAAAAATTACTTGTCTCAAACAAGTGGGGTTTCACTCCATACAGACAAGAAGAGTTCCAAAAGCTCAGAGAAGAAGGTAAAATCATCCCAGACGGTTCATACTACAGACTGGTCACCCCAAAGGGCCCATTGCCAAAGGTTAACTAAACGAGAATGCTCTCTTTGTTTTTTGTTTTTAGGGTTTTCTTTGGGTCGGTTTTTTCAAGTTTATTTCGATAGAATTATTAAAAATATTATACTTTTATATTATTTCTATCAATTAAATAGAGCCATATATGATAGTAATGACAATATATGTTGAGTAATGATATATTATATAAGATATATTTAAACAACAAAAAAAAACAAATTCAATAATATCGAATACCAAAAAGAAGTTCACCAGATTGACACTGCATATTTTACAGAAATAAGGAATAACAAGATCCATAATTAATCAACAGAATTTTGCTGACAAAACTTGAAAATCGAAGATGGAAGTGGTATGCCAATACCGGCTTGAGGCAATGGACGACAATGAAACAAAAATTAGTGTTGCGTTGGTCAAGGCAATGGCGTGCTTGAATGAAGATGCCACTAAACGAGTGTTAGACTGGTTCTGGAAAGAGGAGAATCAACAGATTGTCGAGGGACTGGTATATAAAGTCCGACTTCCATTATTCACACAATATTTGTATGTACAAAACAATACTCTCCGAAGTCTAGCCGCAGAGACTATTCTCCAAATCATTAAGCATATGATCATAGTCGACGACAAAAAGTTCTTAATGCGCCTGATGAACACCGACGAAATATTTTTAACACAATTTTCACTCCTTCTTGAAGACGACTCGCTTTCGGACTTACACGGAGATGTTGTTGAAATTATTTCAAGGTGTATCCCACTCTCTATTAATAACAATTCGTTCTCACCTGTCATCAAACCTTTGGTCAATTTACTCACTACGACGAATACAAATACTAAGCTCACTTTAAGTACGTTGCAAGCACTCTTCCAAGCTACTAATACAAAGTATGAAATTCAGTTCGTGAAGTTCGACGGGATCAATCGCTTGGTCTATTTAGCTGAACATTCGGAGAATAATGAAGTCAGGTTTTACTCGCTCGAGTTGATTAAAATTCTCTTGAAAAATCCACAAGAGAACGCACGACTGGCGTTTAACAAACGGATGTTTGAAACACGACTGCTCAGCGTATTGATTGACATCATCGACTCGAAGGATGAAAAGTTATTAAAACAAGCACTGGACATGATCGATACCTTCTCGACGATACCGGGGAACATCGACGAAATGTTTAAAAGTGATATCTTCCACTACTTACTCGAGTTTCTTGTGTTTCCATTTGAGGTTGGCGTCGACAAGTTCTCAGTGGAAGCGATCTTACACACTCTCCTCCAAGTCTCAATTTCTAAGTCAGTAGTGATGAAATTGGCCGACGTCGGGCTCCCTTTAAAGCTCATTAGTATCATGGAAGCACATTCTTTCTTTACGGAGAGAAGTATCGAATACGCCAGCGACATGATATCTAATATATGCAGAATAGCAGAGTCACGACAGCAATTCGTTCAATACGAATTGACCAACGCACTGAAAGAAGTTGTTGAGGATCCTTCAGTCAGCGACTTCACAAAAGATATGGTGACACAGTTAAAGAGACAATTTGACAATATGAAGATGAAGGAAGACCTGATGATGTCCATGCAAAAGGTGTGTAAGACAAACACCATTGAGAAACAGCAAATGGATAACATGAAAAGTCTTTTCTCGCTGTTTGATAACAACAAAGAAGATAAAGAACCGCAGAGTATCGAGAGTGAGCCGGTTGATATGAACGAAGTGTACAAAGAAGTCGTGAAAATTCCAACAAACACAAAAGCAGATTTTGTCATTGGTAGAAAAACACGCCCAAAGAGTTTATTGCCAGAAGGGATATATCCATACACTACAGACCCACAAAAGGGACCATCAAGTAAGTTCAAAGAAGACTCCAAGACATTGCCACAGCAAAAAAGACCATCAATGAGATTGTCGTCGTTTAACAGAAGGTCTAATGCGGCTGCTCTCATGATCCAAGAACAGAAGACTCGTGACGAAGAGAATAGCAGTATCAAAGGGATGAGTAGTGATAACGAGAGCATCAAAGTGGAGACCAAAGACGCAAATTTTACTTCAAGACAACACCACACACAAGTCAATGGAGCGAACAAAAAAGACTTTTTATCACATCAACGTGGGGATAAAGGCAGAGTTAAACTGATTGAAGCGAAGAAAATGGGTGCGGAGGTGATGAATGTGCCCACGTTAAATTCCGTCGTTGAGAACAAAGACACGATCAACATCTCCATGGACAACGCTAAACTCCTCGCTGACTTGAATTTGAAAAAAGTCACAAGACGGCACGTTGTACAAGAGATGTACACAACAGAGAAAACTTACACGCAGAACTTGTTGCAGTGTGTGAATGAAATTGAACCGGAGATGAAGAAGGTTATGACAGAAGTCGACTTCAATTCGCTCTTCAATAACATTTCCGATGTCTGTAATGTGCACACCAAGTTCTTCAAAGTGATAGAAGAACGTTGGAACCAACAAAAAGATGTCCCATTGATCGTTGTGTCCGACATTTTCCTCGAACTCTTTTCCAACGCAAATTTGTATGACACGTATATGTACTACTACACACATGCAGACTCCGGACTCGGGTTTAACTACGCGTTGTGCTCACCAAATGTAAATAAGTTGGCACAAGAGTTCAAGCAAAGACGACTCCCCATCGACCAATTTCTGATCCAACCAATTCAAAGGCTCCCGCGTTATGTTCTGTTGCTCAAGGAGTTGATCAAGGCAACGCCGGAGTTGGTTGTCGACGAGAGAGAAAGGCTAAGCAAAGCGCTCGAGTTGTGCAACAAAATCACTTTGGACTTCAACGGAGAAACAAAAAAGATCAGAAGCAAAAAGCAGCTTCAGGAATACTGCGAAAAGATCGAAAACTACCCACCAAATCCCAGCCGTGTGTTCATAAGAAACGGAAACATCATCACAAAGTCGAAGAAGAAGAAATCAGTTTGTCATGTTGTATTGATGTCCGACATCGTGTTTTTCTTGTTAAAGAAGAAGCAGAAATACACAATTCAGTGGATGGTCGAGTTCAAAGACGTGACTTTGATCGAGTTGAAAAGCTCGAAAAAGGCCGAAGAAGAGAAAAACTTGGTGATCGAGTATGGCACAGGAAAAGAAAAAAATAGTGTCAGTATGGTGATGGGTGTTGACATTGACTCCGAAGCATGGCTTACCGACCTTAATAACTGTAAAAAGCCTTAAGTGCTTAAAAGTTTCTAATTGACTTGTTTTTCAGTGGAATAATGGTTGTACGAATGAGAAGCATCGACTTGAATGTTGTTAACAATCAGTTAAAACGCCCATCACTTAGATGAGATTGGGGAAGTATTCTTGGAATATCGAAATCACACGATTCAAACGAGTAGCTGCCTTGTTCAGTATATCTACCTTTTCTTCAAACGCAGTCGAATATTTCGTTTTGAGTCTTGTTTGGGAGACATTTTCGTTGTTCTCGCCACTCAACTCCAACAAGTGTTTGATGTTTATTGTCTCTTCTTTCATTTTTGACATCTCTTTAAGTTCATCTTGGACGTTCTCCAGTTTAGAAATCGTGGTGCTGTACAATTGCTTCATGAAGTTGACCAAAATCGCTTCATTGTACTTTTGACTGAAGATACTTTCGTTCAAGTTTCGGATAAGGACTTTGGCGATGTAATCAAACGCGCCAGACATGATGTCAATCAAAGCGCAGTCTTCTTTCGTTGTTTTCTTCCCAATGTTTGCATATTTCTGGCTCGAGTGGTCTAAACTGTTCACCGAGAAGTTTCGCATCTCAACAATCCACGTGAGTAAGTCACCAATAATTGGATGGTCACCATTTCCATTCCACACATTGATGATGAAGTTTACAATGTCGGCGTGCGTCTCGAGTCTACTCAAAGTAAAATCAACCTTAATAACACCAGATGTCTCGCTGCGGATAAAGTGGTCTGGGAATTTCAGCATTGAAATAACAGTTGGTTTATTCGCAATTAAAATTTTGACTTGCTGTAAGTCGTCTTCGGTGCAATTCTCAGAGACATTTCTGAGCACCCTCCATATGTATTGGTTTGGTGTTAAGACAACAGTTGTTTGGAATATCGAGAATATGCCTTGTCTCAGCAACACCAAGCACCCATTTCTCGTTGTAGATATAGCAAGTAACAACGGGAAGGTGTTGGGATTCTCGAAAAGTGTTGGAAGCACATCAATAACATATTTTGGGATTTCGTGGTGTTGGACATATGATGTCAAAAGACTTATATGTGCTGGGTTGAACGGGATCATTGGCATTACTTTCATCAATTCTTGTGGTAGTTCAAATCCCTCCTGTTGGAGCATCAACGAATATATTAACATAAACGTACCAAGTGACATGGGGTGGGATTGCATAATAGCAAAGATGCTCAAAAGCATTTTTGAAAGTAGTTCAAGTCCACTTTTGTCTCTCGTCGCAATGGAATTGTCAACAACTGAAGTACATACAGTCATCAATGTCAATGAGAGTGGGAACAAAACGGCTGGTGTTGTTTTCTGAATTAAACCGATAATGTCTTTGACAATATTTAACAACACTTTTGGCTCAACCATGGGCGCGACAACACTGACATTCGCACACACAACACGAAGACATTGAACAGCTTCATTCTCATCATTAAACGGTCGGCATAAAACCGCGTAAAAGTTGAAAATTTGCATAAGCAAATCCACAGATGTGGGCTGCCTTGTATCTCTGACATAGAAATTATAAATGGTCAACAACTCCAAGTTGAGTTGATTCAAATTGACTGTCTCTGCTGTGGGTCTGACGACCAGCGACAAGATTGTGGGTATCAACTCATTCTCAACGTGCCACAAAATGTTCTTCGAAACTCTTGTGTGCAACAACCCGGAAATGATGCTCGCTGCGCAAATTTTCATTTCAATCTCCCCAGACCGAATAAGTTGAACCAAATCCGCAAACACAGTGGGGTCGATGATATTTTCTCCTCCTCTGATTCCCATTATTCGCATACCAAATGAATATCCGCCAGTCCTTTTCATACTCACTGACACTATTCTCACCATCACACCTCCTTCCTTCAATTGTTGCATAAAGTAGGTGTGTAAAACTCCGTACATTTCCTCATCTCTAAAAACTTCGTTCATTTTCATCATCGAAACGTCTTTGAGCAAAACCTCAAAGAGTTCAAACCACTTATCTCCCATTTCGAAGTTGATTCCAGCACTCAACACAAACGAAATAAGACGAGGGCGTTGCTCGAACTGTCTAACAATAATTTTTGTTGAGGTCATCATTTCCTTCGCCAAAAATAAGCTGTCTGGAATGTTCATAAACGTGTCAATGAAGTCCAAAATGCGCTCAGTTGTTCTTTTGATGTACGGAGAAATACTCAGTTCTCTCTCAATCATCTTGGCTGCCTTCAAAAAGACAAACATAACGTTATAAATCACATTCGACGAGTATTTGTACATGTTGTCATATATATGTCTCATGAAAATTTCAGTGGGAAGGTTTTCAACGTCTTTGAGGTTGCTCACCACTTTCTTTGGATCAGTCACACCAGTAAGTTTTGATAATTCGGTAAAAAGCATGATAAACCTTCTTGAAAGCGAAAAACAAAATTTGTTCTCTTTCCCTTCGAAAGGCCGGTTATCGTCCAACACGTATTTTAGTGTGTTTGGCAATTTAGAAAACGATGATATGAAAAATTGAGTCATTGAAGACAATTGAATCATCTCTTTGGCAATGCTTTTTGGAAGGTGTTGCAACAGTTTTATGAAAAATTTGACAAATGAAGACAAAAGCATGAGCCCATTTGGTTTGTCACACTCCTTAACAATGTCCCACAATGTGTTCTTCTGGAACAGTTGGAGTCGTTGGATGTGAACGTTCCATAAGTCCTCCATGTCATCTTCCAACACTACCAATTCGTCAATGAGGTCCAAACATGCGGCCTTCAAGTTCACAGAAACGCTCCCCGTCAATGCTTCGACCAACATTGATACAAATGACTCGTTCTCAGCCAAAAATTTCTCCCCACTTTTGGGACTATGTTTAAATATCTTTCTCATTAATCTGATGTACAAATGCATATAAACAAGTTCCTGATTTCCACTTTTGCTCCTCTTTCCCAACACAAGTGCAGTGAACGATGGTTTAATCATCTCCCATCCCATCACACCACTCTTTCCCTCAACAAACAGTTCATACATGTTTTCTGCATTTTCTGTGTTGTCACAGACGGAAACAAAAAATGCGAGAATTGTCGAAACCGAATTCCCGTCAAGTGTGCACCTCGAGAGAGTTGGGACAAAGTACTCCAATGGACCATCCCACAACGAAACGTCATTTTTGAAATTCTTCACGGCAACAACCAAGCAATCCAACAACCGCGTTCCAAACTCCTTAGCACAACTAAATATCTCTTCGATATTCTCTTCGTTACAAGTCATGACAAACGATAATATAAGTTGTGAGAAAACATTGATCCACTCCTTTCCTCCGTCTTCGCTGAACACGGACGAGGTTGCCATTTTTGTTAATATCTGCGGGTTGTTGATGATCTTTTCCAAAAACGAAAGAACCAAAACGTTTGTCTTTCGTTGAAGTCTCATAACTATAATATACAAGAGCGCATACTTTGCATCGTCTTTGATATCTTCGAGTAAGGCGATGTTTGGTTTCGGACAAACAGCGCCAAGTGGGTGTTTAGTAAATTTGATGAACGTTCCAACAACAACTAAGAAGCATTTCATCTTGATATCTTCTTTGTCCCCTGCTTGTTTCTGTATGATTTTAATCAAATCCATTTGGTGTTGATCGAACGACACGTGTGCACTTAACTCACGGAGTAACAAAAACGCCGCGTTAATAACAATTTCACTTTCCTTTTTAACGTGTCGGGTTGCCAACGCATCAACGATGTCGTCGACCAATGAAAACGCACATTTTGTCATGGACTCCGATGGAGCAACATACGCCTTGTCCAACAGTACCAACGTTGAAACGATTGACGCATAGTACTGATTTTGCAAATTCGAAATTGAAAACCTCAATTTCTTTTTCTTGAGGAGATAGCACAACGCAATCGCCTCTGTGTCGCTGACTTTGTTTGCTTTGCAAAAATCATCAATAACCTTTCTGGGACATGAGATCGTTTCCTTTTGGTTTTCCACTTGGACTTCGCACTGGATCGACGAGAATATTGGCGAGACAATTTTGATGTCGTACAGCAAACACCCATCGATCTCCGACAGCGGTGATTCAAATATGGTTTTATACTTCTCTGGTGTTCGATTCTCTTCGTCATTTGTGAATGAAAATCTGTGAATAACTTTTGTCTTCGATATGTCTACCACCTTCCCAGTTATCAATGTACCATTGACCACTTGTGCTGTCCCACTTGACGTCACACCATTCGTTTGTGTTCCCGCCAGCAAATCGTTTCCTAATATACTTCCTCCTCCAAATAGACTAGACATCCCCGTTCCTGCTAATCCGGAATTCGACATGCCAGTACCAGCTAATCCCGTGTTTGACATTCCTGCGCCTCCAAGTCCCGTTGACGACATTCCTGCGCCTAAAAGGTTTGTTGATGACATTCCCGTGCCGGCCAAATTCGTGGAAGACACTCCCAAAGCAGCGTTTGTTTGCAACGCCATGTTGTTCCCAAACAACCCCCCTTGTATTGACATTCCTATTGATCAATTCAAGTTCTAATTTTTTTGGATTGAAAAACCTATTTTTCAATCATTTCTCTTTTTTTGTTTTGGTTTGACTTACTCATAACTGCACTTTTGGGAATCATTTTTTAATTATTCTTTATTAGTAATTTTATTAATTATAATTATATATATTATTAATAAATATGGTTTTGTTGAACTATATCATTGTTTTATTCATATCGGATTTATTTTTTCATATTTTAACATTTTTTTGGTTTATTAATACTTTTTGTTTCCGTTATAAAAAATTTTATGAATTGTCAAATGAAAATCATATTTTTGTCAATTTTGTTAAATTGACAATGATTGAAATTGACGGAACGAATGAAATAAAAAGGGATAATTTAGAAACGGCACAATACAATCGAAACATCTCCACATGGTTCCTTCAAGTTACTAACAGAAGCGATGTCCTTAAGTAAACACGCGATTTCCCCTGTTCGGAAAACGTATCTCTTTCCATGTAATAATTGTTGGATGTCAGTTTTACATACGTTTTTCCACATCGCCTCCGACGCCAAAACGAGATATTCCTCATTACTCACTCTCTCTGTGATTGAGATTTGTGGAACGTAACTGACTTTTCCCTTTTCTGGTATATCTCCAATACTGCGTGAGAACTCAAACCCATAGACTGTCCCGTCTTCATCGACGATACCGCACTCCCTCTTGATTCGCTTCTCCTCGCTTTTTTCCGCCGCCTTTTGATAATCACAAAGGTCAGTAACCGTGTTGTTAGTGAAATAGACTGGTATACTGTTCCCGCATTGTGCGGTGTAGATCTTAGTTGGTGTTACAAACACAACAGTCACACATGTCCCATCGCGCACGTTATAATCCAGAAACTGATATTGTACGACCCCAAACGCTTCTTTGAGAGCATACTCGATCGTTACGTCCTTTTTCAGAGTGTCGTAGAAGACGGTAGGGAATCTCTGATTGAATTTGAAAGCAGTCAAATTCCCATTGTGTCCTTCAGATATTCCAAAGAGAAAGTGGTCTGGTCCCGCAAAGTTTGGAATACACAGAATCGAATTTCGCATTTCTTCACCGCAACACGTCTGCGCCGTGGAGAGGCGTGTCGGGACAGGACGGAATTTTAACGAGTCGGCAAAGCGATTTAAAAATGGAAATTGGTGAATTCTCAGACACCCGTCTTCCCTTCTAATCGCATTTTCAACACTTCTGTCTTCATAGAGATCGTTGAATGAAACATCAATGTACTGCAATTCGTGACACTCCGTGAAATATGGAATTTCAATTAATGAATTGAACCCCAAATCAACGTAGACAAGACTAACACAGTCTTTGAACGTTGGAAGCTTAGAAATGTAGTTGTTTGTCAGTAACAGTTGCTTCAAAAATTTCATGCCACAGATCCCTTCACAACTGCTCACAAAGCAATTTGTGAAGTCGAGCGTGTTGATTTGGTTCATCCCAATGACCGAGTTCAAGGAGTATATTGGGTTGCCTGAGATGTACAGCCGACTTATTTTTGGAAAGTTCAACACAATTTCTGGGACGGTCGCAAACTGGTTGTCGCCCAAATGGAGCACACTTAAGTTACTCAGACTAGACAACTCGTTTGGAAGTTCTTTCAATTTGTTCCCGGTCAAATAGAGTTGTTCAAGTGATATAAGCGAACTGATAAACGAAGGCACCGAACTTAAGTTGTTAAATGAGACATTCAATACTTTCAATTTGTTCAACTTGCAAATGGCGATATCGAGAGAAGAGAGTTTGTTGAACGAAACGTCTAAAAACCGTAATTGGAGTGAGCAAAGTTTCGCTGGGAAGGTGGTGATCAGGTTACACGAGAGATCGCACTCCTCGAGTTGTGAGCACCCAGCAATTGAATTGGGGAATTCAGTAAGTTTATTGTGCTTTGCGTAGAATTGTCTAAGCCCACACCCTTCTCCAACGTCACACACAGAAATGTTATTAAAGTTGAAATTTGCGGTGACAATCCTTTTAGGGAAATTCACAATCTCAGTAATTTCATTATACGCCAAATCGACGACTTCGAGTCCTTTAAACTCTTTGAGTGATGGTGGTAGTTCCTTGATAAAAGAGTTTCTTGCTTTGATTACTTTGAGTGGAGTAACTGGCTCAAGTGGTTGTGCCAAGCTAAACGTTTTCTGGAAACTCAATGTTATTTCATTTATCTTAAATTGGTCAACAACGTCGAGTCCAAAAGTCATATCATCGATTGGGTTTCCTTCCAAATGCAAAATTTCGAGTTCGGGTAACGTGAATAAGTGTGGGGGAAGTGTGTGCAACTCGTTGTTGTTCAAATCGAGTTTTGTCAGTTTTGTCAAATTGGTGATATTCATCGGAATATCGACAATATCATTAAACGCCAAGTTGATTTCCAACAATGAATCATTCTCAAAGAGGGACGTTGGTATAACGTTGAAATTGTTTTGCGAGAGGTTGACGTATGTCAAATTTGTGAGTTCGTGGAATCTTTCTGGGATATTTCTGAGTTTATTTGAATTGGCATTGAGTCTCACCAAATTTGATAATGAAACAATTGTCTCTGGTAATGCGGTGATTTCATTTGAAGAAATGTTGAGCTCAGTGAGTAAAGTGAAATTCTCAATTGTCTTTGGTAGCGATGTCAAACAATTCTCCATTACATTCAAAAGGTATAAATTGAGTGTACAAAGTTCGTTTGGGAGTTTCTCGAGTTTATTGTTCTTCATTGAGAGATGCGTCAATTCGGTCAAGACACATATTTCGTATGGAATTATTGTAATGTTATTATCATCAAGTGAAACATCTTTGAGTCGACAGTATTGTTGTCCCAAGATTTCCGCTGGGAAGACCGTGAGGTGTTTGTTGTTTGCGTTAAAAACCGACATCTTGTATTCCGAGTTCGTCTATTTTCTTTTCTTTTTTTTTGTTCTCTCGCCTTTTGTTTGAGGTGACCAAATTGAAAATTATCGCTAAACTTTATTAATAAATATATAACTATTTACTAGGATAATTCTTTATTCAATTAACTATGTTTTGATTACTAACAATAAGGAATTATTTTGGATTTGTTATACAATAAATTTAGTCACTTTTTAAAGCAAGATCTTCTTTTTTGAAGAGTTTATTCTAAAATTAATTATTAAATATTTTGTGTTTTTTAGAGTATAAAATTGATGTTGTCTTAAACATAAATAACACAAGAAAAATGCACATTGAATGTTCAAATATAAAAATTAATAAATAATGTTATAAATTTTAGAAAAAAGTGAAACAATGATTTTGGTGTGTTTTCAATAATTTCCCCAAAAATTACAGTTTTTTGGTCGAAATATAACCAAACAACTACAATTTACACTATGGAAACTGAAGATTTCATTGTGTAAATAAAAATAATACAAAAAACCACAATTATCTAGTTATTACATTTGTTTGTAAATATCAAAAGAAGTGTGAATTGGAGGAAAATTATTTAAAACATAATAATAATTATAATATTATTATAATAATAATACTATAATTATTCAAAAGTTTTGAATCAAAACATTATTTATAACATTTATTAACTATTAAGTTCTTAGTAAATTATAATTATCAACGCCACAAAAATTCACTATAATATATAGTATGAAACAAAAAAAGCCAAATTCTTCAATTAAATACGAAGAGTTTGCTACCAACGAAGTTCACGATTGTCAAAGAGGCGATGACAAATATGAGGAGCATCTGTATATACGGGAATTGATCCGGCACATACATTCTTCCGATTGTGAATAAGATGCTTCTGAGAATGAACGAAACGCCACACACTGTTGCGAACTTGACAAACTGTTTAGTTTTTTCCTTCGTGTCGACATTTTGAGGGAACGTCCACAACGAGTTTAAGAAGAAGTTGTTGCAGAGTCCGCACGCAAATGAGAATGCTTGTGCCAAGCTTGGGTTGAGTCCCATTGCGTTTAACATTGAGAACACTGAAACGTCGACAAGAGTCCCGATAACACCTACAACCAAAAACTTGAGTAACGGAGCGGTCCCTGGGTACATGAAGAGGTGGAACAAATGGATCAAGTAGTTAGTCATAACCCCACCAGTCAATTTAGATTCTCCATGAGTTCTTGTAGTGAATGTGATAGGTACCTCGACAACATGTTTCGCGTGTGTCTTGACCAAGACTTCCAACAAGATTTTATACCCTTTCGCTTCTAATTTAGCTTCTTTTAATATCTTTCTATCAAGCGCGAAAAATCCGCTCATAGGGTCTGAAACGTTTGTGAATGTCGAGCAAGCAATGCAGCCCCCCATGAAATGACTCTTCTGTGGAACGCCCAATTCTCTATTCCTCCTCCCGGACAATGTCTCGACCCAACAGCAACTTCTGCGCCATTTTTAATAGCCTCAAACAGTTTTGGAACAACCGAAATTGGATGTTGCAAGTCGGCGTCCATAACTAGAATGACATCTCCTTTAGCTTTATCAAACCCCTCAATGACGGCAGGGGAAAGTCCTTTGTTAGTTGTTCGAATTGTGGCTTCGCATTTATGCCCAGCCTTTTGGAGTTCCTGTACCTTAGCACCAGTCTTATCTGGCGAGTTGTCGTCCATGACCAAAATCTCGTAGTTCATTTTGTCTCCGAGAGTCTTTTCCAGTGTTGTGATGAGTTCCTCGATGTTGTCGACCTCGTTGTATGTTGGTACTACAATGCTCAAGTCAGTCATTTCTATTCCTTTCATTTTAAGTTCTCTTCCCTTTAAATAAATTATAGTTGATTGTTCTATTTTAATGGATTTGAAATAACAAAGACCATGGCAAAAGTAGAACCTTATTTGTTCTTCTGCTGTTGTATGGATCAATCAACCGATCTTAGCCAAATTAATGCATTTCGCGTGCAAAAACATTAATTTTGTCTAAGATTAATTTATGGTTAAGAAAAAAGTAAACAATTAATTCCATTAAACTAGTAATTTACTATAAATAGACCAATCAAAGAACTATAAAAGAATTACAACACATTGCTTACTGTGGTGGGAAAACCACTCCCTCAGTAGGAAACGGGAAGGTAGCTTCCTTGAGACTTCCCGATGTTTGTGACTCTTTCTTTTTCTTCTTGAGTACCTTTAGACCACAAGCATTACACAAGAATGTGTTAGGTATTTCACCTGTTCTCCATTCCGATGTTTTAGTGGTATGGCATTGATAACATTCTCTGTTATGGTCCAGCCTGGGTCTTCCTCTTTTTCTTTGTCCACTCGTCGAGTTGACGTCTGGTTGTGGACGAGCCTGTGTGACTTGTGTTGGTTGTGGCTGGACCTCGAGTGAAGTGCCCTGATACAACTGTTTGTTGTAGTTATCGAAGAGCCCCATGAGTCGAATTCTCATCACGGCGTATTGCTCAAATGAGAAGTCCTTGTTGCCGGACATCAAAATCATTTGGCAGACGGCTTGTTTGAAGTTACATCCAAAGACTGCGTTAGTCGGGAGGTCTTGTATTGTGTCGTCGTCGCGTTCTGTTTCCACTAATATTTCAGTTCTTTTCAACTATCTCAATATTCTTTATTGAGTTGCAAAATCTCAAAACAAACTGTTAACTGAATTTGCCAATTTTCAAGTTCTTTATATACCCCAAGGGTTTCGCTATATTTATAGATCGTTTTTCTCTTTTTGTCTCATGTCTTGACTTTTAGTTGTGGTTCGATTTTGGCACCATTTCCCGAATTGTTCCATGTTTTTTTGAACCAAAACGTGTGATATAATTCATGGGATTAAAAATGTTATATATTTTGTTATATATGACAAAACGTATCACACAAAAGAGAAAACAAAATAAAAACTATAATAAACTATAATTACTAGTTTATTCCTCTGGTTCAGCAAAAGTGAGCCATGGCTTGTTGTCTGGGTTGTGCTTTGCCTTCCATTCGGTATATTTCAGCGCTGCAGCCTTGATTGAAGCGACTGTTTTTGGGAGGACGCCCTTTGCCTGTGAATTTATAAGCCAAGATGGGATTGATCCACCGCAGTCGTTATTTGCAATGCAAGTCACTTTGCACCCCGTGTCTGTTTTTTGGATGTAATAGCCACTCATCTCGAATGAAGCTCTGACGAACTTTCCAGTGTTAGGTGGATACTTGTCGTTTGGTACACTGAAGTTGTACAAAATGTAGTCGTTATTGATTTTACAAGTTGATTGTCTGAACACGTAGTCTCTATTTGAGACCACTGGCATACTGAATTGGTAATATATAATAGTGTTGCTTGGGTTGATGACCTCAATGTTCTCTCTCTTAATTAAATGTTCATCCCACGTGTGTCGGAACTCAGGATCCAATAAAGTGTTGTACACAAGTTCCGGTTCGATGCCATCAAAGTCCGTTGAAGTCAGTCGTAAGATCAGAGTGTTTGTCCCTTGGTCAATCATCCACTCATGGATCTTTTCTGTGTTCATGACTTCTTGCCACTTGTCCATGGTCGTGCACATTTCAATGAATTTAGCAAAGTCGGCTTTTGTAGCGGCTTTGGTCATCTGTTGATTATTCAGTTCTGAATGTTCAATTCAAAACTACTTTTTGTCGAATTGTATTGACGATTGTTTAAATAATGTACTATATTTTATGGTTATTTTTATTAAATATTATTAAATTAATACTAGTTTTTCTGTTTTTCAATTTTTTTTGCATAAAGTTTCAACAACAAACAACAATAATTGTTTTATATAACAATTTGTTGTTTAAAGTTTATAATTATTTTATTCGAATTATTTTATGGATAAAATTTTGTTTTAATTTATGAAATAAAACCGTTTCACACAAGTCAATTAAAAAAGGAGGCGAATACTAATCCATTTGTCACCGGATCCACAAAGAGAGAAAGATACTGACTTGTCAAAGGACAGAAGTAAATATAAAACAGTTGAGTTGTCAGTGGGTCTATAAATGTAGAACAATAATACAACAATATTTGTTGAACAGAGTCTTCATCAAGTTGATTTGGAATTAATGATGCACCATTTACAAGTGGATCAATTTGGTCAACCGTCAAATTGAGTTCACAGACTGGTTCGTTTAAGACGTTATCTTGATGTTGAGTTGGGTATTCTTCTTGCAACGAAGTAAAAGGACGATTGGAATCTTGGGTATCATCTTCTATCACATTTTGTGCTTGTGATGTTCCCAATAAAGATTGTGGTGCTTCTTTTACATCCACTTTACTTGCACTATGGTTAGTACGAGAGTCATTAATTTGGCTCTCAAGTGAAGTAAATGGTTCTTCAACTACTCCTTGTTGAGAATCTTTTGCAGAATTAAGTAAATCCAAGCTTACTAATTTTTGAACTTTGAATGGGTTGCACTTTTTATGCCCTTCTAGTGGTTCGACAGAGAAAAGTTTTGGTTTTCCATTTCCATACATAAAGGGAATGACATCTACACAAAATTCTTCTCCACTGTTTTTGAAATCCGATATTTTGATTTTATCTTTATTTATCGATTTGATGAAACGGTTTTTGAACTCGTCCCCACTATCCTTTTTACTCTTTCCGTTTGTTCTTTCAACTGTGTAATGAAGGGCGACCAATTCATCACTCAATTTGTCCAGTATAATTGACAAATTTAAGTCGTTCTTAATTCTTTTTAGTCTTGTATTTATTGCGCTTGTTGTCATTCCAGGTTTATCGTTTTCAAACCTTATCTTAGCTTTGTCGATAATGTTGTCTCTGTTGGTGTTCTTGTCGTTTTCGTCCCATACTATTGTCCCGTCTGGTCTTTCGATTCTAGCAATGATCACTGGGAATAATTGATTTCTAACTGGCTTCTTTACAACAACTATGTATTGATAGTTTGTCACAAGAAAGTTGACAACTCCGATAACCATCATATCGGATGGTTGATGTGGTTTGTATCCGTTAGTCTGGGATTGTGGTTCCCTCTTCTCTGATTTTTCCATTTTTTTAGTTTTTTAGTATTGCACTTTGGTTTATATTGAACTAATATTTCTTATAAGTTTTTCGTCTGATATTTTTTACGAACTATTATTGTAAATTAGCGGGATTATCATGCTTATTATTTTTGTCACGTGAATTTTTGTAAGAGAAATTATCTTTGGGAAAAATGAGAATAAATTAGTTAATATATTATTATTGATCCATTTTATTTAATTATTAAAAATATAAAAATGACTCAACATAAAAATTAGACAGTATTTTTCTAATTTTGAATAAAAAGATCATTTCACTTTGTATTTCTTTATGTGTTTTTTTATAAATAGTATTTCAAAAAAAAATAAAAATAATGTTTCGTGTCATAATTTAATACGATTATATTTAATATATATTATATTTAATATTTTTTCTAGTTTTTCAATATTAAAAATAGTATATTTTTATTAAAAAAATAATCAATCTATAATAATAATGGTGTTTTAACCATTAAACTTATTTTAAGAAATATATAGACACATTTGAAAACCAATGTTTTATAAATCTTACAAATATACAACATTTATTCTAATTCCCTTTATTTTAAACGCATTTTGTGTATTTTTTTGTTAAACTAACAAATTTTTATATAAACTTAAATAATTATTTTAATAACAATTTTAATATTATTTTAGATAAATAAATTATAACATTTCATAACATTTTAATATTATAAAAAATGTTATTACTAACTTAGAATAAAACTTAATTAAACACAATTCATATTATGATATAATAACCACTATTAACATGATTCAGATTTAACAAGTGCCTTCCTAGCTCAGTCGGTAGAGCGTGCGGCTTTTAACCGTAAGGTCGGGGGTTCGAGACCCCCGGGGGGCGTTTTTATTTTTTAAATATTCTAATAAAATAGAATATTTATAATTTAAAAACAAATAATTTAATTAATTTTCAAGAAGCATTTGTGGTCTAAGGGCAGAATTCCACCCTTCCAAGGTGGAGATCCGGGTTCGAGTCCCGGCAAATGCACTTTTTGTTTTTAAGAACAACATAAATATTTAAATCATCAAATGAAATATATTTAATTCAATGAAATGTCTTTCTCCATGAGTCTCTTTCTGAACAATCAAAAACGAGTGAATTAATATTCGTATCTCACCTGATAAGGTTCTGGTCCGATGAATCCCTTATATTCAGGGAATTGAGCAGTGCTTTTCTTGATTTGTTCATAATCAAACTCGCCTTTACCATCATACGATTGTTCTTTCCAGTCAATGTCAAATTGGACGCCATACGATGAGTCTGGTGTCTTGATCATATTCATTTTGTCAAAGACGGAATAGGGGATAGATCTATATCCGCAGAATGTTTTGTCGGTGAGTTGGTTGATCAAGTCGATATGTTCTTGAATAGGTACAATGAATGATGGGAAGCTTTCAAGTGGGAAGTCAGTGAAAGTGACTTCCTTTTGGTCGTCCGTGTTAGTTTTGTCGACTTGTAAGAAAGTAATAGTATACAAGTACGACGAGTATTGTGATCTTGCAGTTGAAGAGACGAAGTATCTTTTTGTTGTGTCGCACAATGTATCTTTGATACATTCAAATTCCATAGGTTTTCTTGTGTTCTTCACATTTGTTTCAATGTATTGGGTGTTCAAGCAAGTCTTGCTCAAGTCTTGTTTTAAGACCTTTTTATCGCCTGTAGGGCCTGGGTTCATAGCAACGCATGAATCCCAAGACAATGGGTTGTATACATTTGGGCATAAAGTTCTTTCGTCCCATTCACTGTGTTCACCCTTCAAATAGAAAGCGCTGTGTGTGCCATAAATAGTCGTTTCGTCTGTTGTGTCTCTCACAATGAAAGCGCCTTTTGTGTTGTCTTTAGCCAAGTAGTTGTCATTATAGCCAACAACAGTGACCAAGTGATAACCATATCTGTTCAACCCTTGATTTGGTAAGATGTACTCTCCATCGGGTGTAATTCTTTGTGATGGAATGTACGCACAAAGTCCATCATTTTCTGGGCATTGCTTGATGACTACTTTATCCAACTTCCCTAATATGTTCTGTTCAGAGCTCACTGGAACGACGTGCATACCCTCATTCAATACAACCATAAGAGAGACGGGATTATTCATTGACGCCCGTTTGATTTCGGAAAGCGTGCGATAAGTCGCGATTTTTGTCACATTAAACAACAACGCGTTTTTAGCTTCGGCGGCGTCTTTTCCAGTGCAAAGGAACTGTCCATCGACTGATGTTTGGTAATCACAAACTGAATGTGGAATGACTTTATTGGAAAGTGAAGAGTACCTCCACAAGAATTGTGGGTATCCAGTGTTAGTCGTATAGCTGTACGCTTTCATAGGACATCCCTTATAATTGTCAGTCTTAATAGCATCAAGAGCGTCAATTGCGTACGCCTGTTCGTTCAACGAAATATATTGATTGGCAAGCTTCTTGTTGTAAGCATACTCTAACTGGAAAATTGTCGAAAAGGCCCAGCACATTGATCTCTGTCCTTGGTATTTGACGGGTGGTAAATTGGGGAGAAGAAATTGGGACGGAATTTTAACTTCTTGGACTTTGGCATACTCATTGATTGCGTCAATGACATATTTTGTTCCATTTTGAATCACTTCCTACTTGTTAGTATAATTATTAATAAACTAAACTACAAACTGCAGAAATCGTTTCAAGGTCAGACTTGCTAATCGGTTGAACTACCGAGTAATACACGAAAGTCGAGAAAAGAAGACACACAGCAATGGTGGTCACGATAAGGACCGACCACTGAAGAAGAGAGAAGAACAATTTGTTCAGGAACTCTTTGAAGCCCATTGGAATTTAAAGTTCGATCTTCTTTCTATTCTTTTTCTTGGATCATAGAATTTTTAATATTTGTAATGCGTTCAAATACACTAGAATTGTGGGGTTTATAACTTTTGATATCCCTTGTTTTCTTATCAGTCTTGGGGAATTTTTTGGCACCTTCCACTCTGTCTTTTTTTGTCATTAAGAAATTAATTACTTTGTATAGATTTTTATTAATCAAATGATCAATTGTCAAATAGAATAATTTTAACTATAATGTATAGTTTAGTTTGTATAACAGTTATAATAGAGTAAAAATAAATATTTTTGTTATTGAATTATATTATATATATAATTTATTATATAGTACATTTTAAAAAACGTGTATTATAATCGTGAATGGTTTTATTATAAAATATGATACAAATTATTTTAAATTATGTAATTAGAACCATAACAACTCAATTACAATTCTGCAAAATTGGGAAACTATTTATATCAAACCATTTATAATACACGTGTATTTCATTAGAATAAAATACACAAAAAAACAATACAAAATTATGACATAAAACACCGTTTATGGTAAAACATATCATATCAATAATTATTTTATTAATAGAATTTTGAAAATGTTAGAACGTTTTACGATTTTTGGTTTCTCCAGTTTTTCTTAAAACCTCAAAAAAAACAAGGGTTTTTAAAATCAAAATGTTAGCCCCGTTCAAAGTTGCCATTGCAAAAGTTGTGAGTGAGGCTGCCTCCATTCCAGAGGATTTTGCCGAGAAGAGTGTCGAACTTTGTAAAAAGAAGGAGTCGGGTGATTTCTCGGTCCCAATTCCACGTATTATCAGACAAATGACAACACAAGAGAAGAACCCAAGCAAAGTAGCTGAGGAACTTGCCAAGAAGATAGCTCCAAACGACTTTATCAGCAAAGTGACTGTCACAGGTCCATTCATCAACTTTTCTATCAACAAATCTGCACTTGCAAAGACAATCATTTCTCAAGTCTTTAACGAGAAAGAGCATTTTGGAGGGTCAAAGATGGGAGATGGCCAAAAGGTTGTTGTCGAGTTTTCATCACCCAATATTGCTAAGCCATTCCATGCGGGTCATTTAAGATCAACCATCATCGGAAACTTCATTGCGAACGTCCATAGATTATTAGGGTTTGATGTCATCTCTATGAATTGGCTTGGAGACTGGGGAAGTCAATTTGGACTTCTTGCTATCGGTTTTGAGAAGTACGGAAGCCAAGAAGAACTCGAGAAGAACCCAATTAGACATTTATATGATGTCTACGTCAAAATCAATGCAGATAAGAAGGCCGACGATAACGTCCGAGCACAGGGAAAAGACTTTTTCAAACACATGGAACAAGGTGACGAGGAGTATCTTGCAAAGTGGAAACTCTTCAAGAAATTGTCACTCGAAGAGCTTAAAAGAGTCTATAAAAGACTCAACGTCACTTTTGATGTGTTCACAGGAGAGTCTGAGACTGACTGGGCTTTGGTGGATGAGACTGTTAAAGAACTTGAAGTTAAAGGAATATCTAAGATGGACAAAGGATGTTTGGTCGTCGATTTAGAGAAGTACAAATTGGGTGTTGCTTTATTGAAGAAAGACGATGGGTCTACGTTGTATTTGACTCGTGATATTGCCTCAGCCATTAAGAGATATCGCACTTATAACTTCTCCAAGAGTTATTATGTTGTTGCATCACAACAGAACCTTCACTTCAAACAATTGTTCAAGATCCTTGAGCTTCTTGGCTATTCTTGGGCTAAGAATTGTTATCACATTTCATTTGGTATGGTGATGGGTATGTCCACCAGACGAGGAACAGCCGTTTTCTTGCAAGACATATTGGATGACGCTTCTGCTACAATGTTAGAAACAATGCAAAAGAACACTGACAAACTCAGTGAGATTAAAACCGAGGATCAAGCTGCCATTGCTGATAAAATCGGTGTCTCTGCAGTCTTTGTCCAGGATTATAACGCTAAAAGAATTAAAGACTACCAATACAATAGAGAAAGAATGACATCATTTGAAGGATATACCGGACCCTATTTGCAATACGCACACGCACGTTGTTGTGGTGTTGAGAGAAAGGCTGGTCTTCCAATCCCAACCCTTGATGAGGTCGACTTCACATTACTTAACGAACCAGAGGCTGAAGCACTTGTGTTGGCTATTGCAAAGTACGGAGACGTCATTATGAACACTTACAACAACCTCGAGCCAAACACACTTGTCACTTACTTGTTCGAATTGTCACACGTCATCGCAAGCGCACACTCGGTTTTGAGAGTCAAAGGTTCAGAAGAAAAGCTTGCTAAATCCAGATTGATGCTTCTTCACTGTGCTCGAGTAGTACTTGGCAATGGGTTGAGATTGCTTGGGTTGGAGCCTTTAGAAAAGATGTAAGTCTTTTTAATTTTTTTAGGTTCATTTAATTAATAATTATTTGAATGTTGGAGATTTGTTGTATCTATTTATATATTATATTTAAACTATAAAAACTTAAAACACAGAATTTGAAGTTTTTGTGTGTAATATTATCACCGTTAATCTATTTTTTGATTGTATTTCAAATTACAACAACAATATAATTTTGTTGTTGTGGTTAAACTACAGTGTATCTTATAACAAATAGCACTTGTAATCAGTTAGAACATTTAGATCTTCTTCCCCCAAGTGGTTTCGTCGTACCAGACGCATGGATCAGTGTCATATGGCTTCTCTTGCTCACCTTTGCACCAGGTACCCTTTGAACATGGTCTGAATCCAGTGTAAAACTCGGAGCACTGGAAGTACTGATCGTTGTGTTTCCCATCGATCACACAGAAGAGACCATCTTCCTTGCATTTCAGCTCATTTTCTTCAGAGACGACCGGCTTCTCAACACTCTTTGCCTTTGAACTCTCAGTTGTTTTCTCTACACATGGATCAACCTTGATGTCAAACTTGCCCTTTCCTTTGCAAATTGTGCCTGGTGGGCATTTTGAGAATCCTTTATACGCATCGGTGCAGATGTAGTACTCGTTGTCGTGCTTCCCATCCAACACGCAGTAGAGTCCTTCTTCCGTGCATGTTGGGATGTCTTCATTCTTGTCGACTGACGGGGTTCCCACAGATTTTTCAGTGCTCTTTTGTGGATTTTCAATTGAGTTGTCGTTCAGCAAGACACAAGGGCTTAATGTGTATGGTTTTGTTGATGCGCCAGCACACTTAGTGCCGGTTGGGCATTTCATGAATCCCTTATAGGAGTCTGCGCAGACGTAGTACTGGAAGTCGTGTTTTCCATCTTCGACGCAGTAGAACCCATTCTCCTTGCAGTCTGGAATTTCACCCTTATCGGTGCTTTTTATTTCGCTCTTCTCCTTTGACTTCTCAATCAACTCCTCATCAAGGATGCATGGGTTGACTGTGTATGGGTAGTGTCCCTTAGCACCACACTTTGTTCCAGCTGGGCATTTTGAGTATCCATTATATGTTGGTGAGCAGATGTAATACTCTTTTGTGTGCTTCTCATCGCCGGTGCAATAAAACCCATCCTCTTTACATATCTCCTTCTCTTCACTCTTGTCAACTGATGGTGTCACTGGGACTTTCGACGTCTCTTTGCTCTTTTCCTCGCTTTTTGTAGTTTCTTCCTTGTAACCACATGGGTTATACCCAAAGTCTACACGTTCTTTGGCAATACACTCAGTCCCCGGCGCACATGGTCTGAGTCCTTGGAAAGTATTTGAGCACTCAAAGTATTGTTTTGAATATTTGGTGTCGTTTATACAATACAACCCATCAACTGTACAGTCGAAAGTACATCCGTTGTCAGTCACAACCTTCGCAGCTGCTATACCGAACAATATAAAAGAAAACATTTGATACTCACAGTGCTTATTCGACGCTTTTATAGAGGTTCCATGATCTCCGACACCGAAAATGGGATCTCTTTGTTTTGTTAAGGGGGATCAGATTTCTTTGACAAATCGGTTTTGTTGTTCATGTAACAAATTCTATTTTGTTAATTAATTATTATATTATTGTTTATTATCATATTTATAAACAAAATCAAAATTATTAACTAAATCAAATATAATATAGCAATTTATAATAAAATGTTTATTTTAATATAAATAAAAAAATTATTATAAAATCATTTTTAATAATTAAAAGAAATTAGAACACAATTAGTTATATAAAAAAAGGAAGCTACGTTTTACCACATAAATAATCTATGATAATGAATATACCCGAATTAATGGACTCTATCTTGGTGGTATTAAAAACACCTAAATAAGGTCAATCAAAAGGAAGAACTCATGAATTAAAATATTCGATATTACATTCCCAAGAAGGAAGGAAAGAAAGAAGCTGTTGTACCAAAAGTTGTTGTCGCTGAGAAAAAAAAAGAGAAGAAGTGATTCAACCTATTTAATTAATTAAATTATTAACCATTTAATATTTAATGAAAGTATTTTTAATCATAATAATTAATTAAATTAATCACATTCTTAATTATTGAATTTCTTAACAATATTGTGTAATGTTTAAGATCATACATTTGTATTTCCACACTCCAAGGGTACAACAATATATGACACATTACAACAAAGTACACCATCAGCATTATAATAGAAATAACAGCCATTTGGTGAACTTACACACCCATTATGATGTATATTCAAATCACTATTTCCATTACTTTCAATAGTATCTCTTTTATTTTTATACACTTCGTTTACATTTTGTTGTTCATAAGAATGCACTTGATCTTGTGGTATCGATGGCGTAACAGTAGAAGTGACACGCATCGTTCCAAATTCACGTTGACCATTCGAAGAGAGGTTGTTTATATCCAACACTGACATTGAATATAAAGAAAAGATTTGCTCATTAAATGCATCTAAAGACGCAGTTTCTTGCTTTTTTGAAAATGATACCTTTGGAAGACTTCTTATTATTGTAATTACACCTTTGCCAAATGAAGTAAATCCAGTCTCATTGAAAGGATCTATGCATTCATACTTCGACAGTTTGATTGTCTTTGTGGCACGACGTGCCTTTCGTAATTTAAATGAAAGCTTCTGTGTATTAATAAGAAAATCAGACACCACATTTAACAAAAGTGCATCTTCGCTCTTTTTACAGTCAGAAACAACTACCTTGTCGTAGAGAGAAGTCTTTGCAATGGTGATGTGGTCTTCAACAACAAAAGTCTTTGTTTTCGAGATTGGGCACTTTAACATGAATGAGACACCATACAAATTTGCAATACCAATAATCGCAGCATTACTAACGTGTTCTCTATTTGTGCTCTCGCGTTTAGTCATCGTTTGTTTACTAACGCTTTCCACTGTGTGACTCATAAAATGATTCATACATTTACAGGTTTAAAAACCACTGAGAACTTTATTGTCTAATATAAATACTTATATTGTTTTATTACCCATCACAAAGATGATATAAACCTCAACATATGAATTCAATTATCTATTTTTGGTAAATTGAATTTGGAGATATGAGGTTATTGAATTGCTAGTTCTCGGAATAAGACTAACCTGTAGACAGTTATTCAGCCCGGGTTTCAGTGTAATCATAAGATTATCAACCTTTGAATCAGAAGAAGCGTCAACCTTTGTATTGATGTTGACGTTTGGTTAAGTTTCGTGGTAGTTTTCTTTTAGTTGAGGTTTTAATTAAAAAATCCTCCTTTTGTTCACCTATCTCCAACAAGATACTTGCTTTATTTATTAAAGTTCTCATCAATTTTTGTTTATATTTAAAAAGATATAATTTAATTTATAATTTCAATACTATAATTTATATATATATATATATTTTAATAAACTTATTATTATATATAGTTAATTTGATTATTTTTTTATTTTTTACTTATTATTATTATTGTATTATAGTATTATTTTAGAATTTAAATTAAAAAAGTTATAATTTTGGTTAAAATACAGGATGTTGGATAATCACTTGGCAGAGAAAAAAGCAATGACAAAATTTTATTTTTTAATATCACTGTAATTTTTATTGGGGTTCAAGAATTAAATCTACGAGGAATTGTTCCAGAAAGTAATGAATAAGAATGTCCATGAGCTTTAAAAGTGTTACAATATAAACATCGTTTTGGGTTGAGAAGATTGACAGGACGTTGGTTCAATTTACATGTTATAATAATTATTATCGATCTTTTATTAATTTTTTATGTTATTTTGTTTTATAAAACTTTATATATATAACATTAAATATATTCAAGATAAGTGTGATTCAAATTGTAAATTATGAGACATTTGAACACTTAAACATATTAAATTCACCGAAAGCAATAATTCAGAATTGAAGATTGCCACAAAAGAATATTGTTGCATTTGTAATGTCAAAGACAATTGCTATGAAATTTTGTTGTTATTAATATCGTTATTGTGTTGTGTTGTTGGACATAAAAATACAATTAAACTAAATATTTTTGATAATAAATCAAATAAATTTATACACATTAAATTTATTTTTGTTGTCGTTTAAAAATTAACAAATATTAATATTTGGATCATGTTTACTCGTAATGTTTTTAAAATTACAGTCAAACCTTGATTTTTTTTCCAACCTTGACAACTTTTGATTGTTTTATATCTATCTACCTATTGGTCAAAACCACACACGGATGGAAACACACACCAATAGAATTTTTAATGTAAAAAAACAATTGATTTTTGATCATTTAAAAATATTTCATAATTATATGTATATTTCAATACAACAAATAACACTAACAGTAAAAAGTCAATTAGAAGTAAAGAGCGATTAAAAGAGCAACCAGAGCAACTAACAAGGATGGCGCGGCTTCTTTAGACTCTTTTTCATTTGCAGAAGAATCATCTGAGACATCAACAACATCTTTGTTGGTGGTTGGTACTCCCTCAGCCTGTAGGTCGATGGTTGTGATTTTGAAGTCGATTGGGAGGTCAGTCACTTCAATGCGCTGAATGGAGAAGGTCTGGAGTGTTCCCTTTTCATCGGCAATTGTCAATGGGACGTAGACACGTGTTGCGACACCCGACTTTACTATGTAGTCATATGGTTTGAGTTCGGTCTCTGTCTGCTGGTTGTACTCCTCAGAGAAGAGTCTGGTTCTGAATCTCATAGTTTTGACCCTGTCAGAGACATAGTACACCTCAAATGAAAAGAAATTCTGTCCGCCTGTCTGCATTGGTGACGATCTCTGAACTCTGATTGTGTCCCAAGTTCTCAACGTCGCAGCAAGAAAGTTGGTTGTAGAGTTCTTCTGCAACTCGATGTCTGTCCCAGCCGTGTTGAGCAGCGCCCACGAGTCGAGAAATTCTTTTCCATCAAACATTGTGTATGAATTTACACCGATAACTAATACCACTAAACTGATCATCTGTTGTTTTGGCATGGGCCGAGTTCCTTTAATACACTACATTTACTTTTCTTGTTCACTTTCTTGTGTCTAGTTCAAGTCCAATAAAAAAGTCAAACTTTTTTTTAAAACTGAATTATTGGTTTTAATTTATTATATTTTTTTAATAATAAGACTTTCTAACTTTTTGCTTAAAACTTTAGAAATAGTTTTCTGTTTTTAGCAAAACAACAATATAAACTATTTAAATAGTAAAGTTACAATAAATAATTTTAATACGATAATTAACAACAATAAGTTCGCAAAAGTCAAAAATCTTTCAGGTGTAATAAAACACTTTTCGAATAACGGGTGTAAATGGTTCTTCGAGGAGCGGTGACAGTTAGTTCATTTTCAAGAGATTTGCGAGAAAGTCTGTGCGCGAATTGATTTTTCTTTGATTCATCCTCTTCCAGCATAAGAGACGTATGTTTCACAACTTTGGTTGTAAGAAGTGACATTTGGTTGTTGAAGATGTGACACGCTTTATATATTCGTGGAGTAGTGATACACACCCCTATAAATTATAACATACTTTATAATACAGTAAACTACAATTTATAGTTTATTATCCAAGTATATCCTTCCATCATCCAATCCAAACATTAGAATTGATAATTAGTTAAAAAACAATTTTAGGGGTGTTTAAGATGTGATAATAAGCACCCCGGTCTCTTTTTTAATATAACAAATAATAGCCCCATGTTTTATTTTTGTTTAATTCTTGCTTGTGGCTCAGTAACAACACCACCCTTTCACTTTGGTTATGGTTGGTGACTAGAGTAAACCTGAAGAATATCTATTGATGACGAAACAAATTCCAAAATAAAAAATTATTAATATTTGCTTGTATTTTGTTGAATAAAACCATATTTTTTGTTGTTAATTTGTTTAATAAACGTAATTTACAAAACATGGTGTGAGAACGACTGACATAAACTGCATTGATTTGATGGTTTAAATTGTTAAAGTGGTTGAGATGTGTAGTTATATTATAATGTAATTAATTATAATAATGAAAATAATTAATTATTTTCACAAATTATGTAAGTTTTTTTTATAATAATAAAGTTAAATGTTCATTGTCAATCTATTGCAATTGTTTTTGTTGTTTCAACAGACAATAATTAAAATTTGAATTACAATTCAAGTAATGGAATTGATTTATTTGTATCAATGATAACATTGAAATTGTTCAATTTTGATTAAGTCTGAATGATATACAATGTACCAACTTTGAATATACTTTTCATCCTAAACATGATGACAAATCTTTGGTAACTCAACCTGTGTGTGTTTTAAGAGCTCATAAATGGTAATGTGTTATTTTACATAAGTGCACACAATAAAACATTTATTTTTGCAATCTTGCTGTAATGTGTTGCTTTTTGTGTTTCAAAAAAGACTTGAATAACTAAATTCTCACTTGCAGAACTTACTTGTAAAAAAATGACTCATTTCTAAGCTTTTTGACTCACTTATATATAAGTAACTCGCTTTAAAATATAATTTACTATTTTAATAGTTAATAATATAATAAATTAAAATTTCTTTATAATAATAAAATATAGTTTTTATTTTAATTACTATTTAACTATTCATTGAATTAATAACTTGACCATTTGGGCAAATTTGCCATCAGTCTAAATAATTGATTAGTGGACTTTGATAGAAAAAACAAATAACATTTTTACATACTTAAATAATTCTTGTTATTGTATTATCATATAATAATGACAAATTTATTAATTGATTTTGAATAAATACTTGTTGGGTTTAATAATAATTATTATTATTATTATTATTATTATTATTATTATTATTATTATTATTATTATTATTATTATTATTATTATTATTATTATTATTATTATTATTATTATTATTATTATTATTATTATTATTATTATTATTATTATCACTCTTTGCTTTCAATACAGTAACAAAACATTAAGTGCTAAGTTACTGACTATGACTAAGCAAAAGAATTTAATTTAATGATATAGACCACTCAGAAAAGTATCGAACAATCATGGTGAATCATTCAAATTTTTCATCATTGTGGCGATTAGATGACTTATTTTTTTCTTTTTATACTCAACCTTTGTTTTTTGACAACAATATTTTTAATTATTATAATACTATTTAAACTATACACATTATGAAAATACCAACTAAAAACGAATAGAAAAAATTTATAAATACTTTTTTTCCTATTTCTATTTCAAAAAAAACAATTCTAGTTGTTATAATAATTTTATTATAAAATAACTGCAGTCAATAATGTATATTTGTGATACAACAAATAGATAACTGGTTTGTCATTTATAAAATATATTCTTGAACTTGGATTGTTTGTGGAATTAAAACCTATATTTAATTTAAATAACTTGCAATATTAAAAATATTTAATTTCACATTCTACTTGACAACAAATAAATGAGTATTCTTTGATTATGGAAAAAGTAACACTCTTGACTGGTATTGTTGATTTACGAAAATGTGATGGAATTTATTATCACTTCATTGTACTATAATTAATTATTATGTTATTATTAAACAGACAATATTTAAGAATTGAAAAAAATTTCTTAATTACTTTTGGCTATAATTTTTTTAAAGAAGGCATTTTTTGGTATTGTTATTATTTTAATTATAATTTGGTTTTCAGCTAACTAAGTGTTAGCACTTAAAAACAAACAAAATAAATTTGGTTATGAATTATTCGAAAAATTGTATTTTTTAGCCTAAGTCCATTTGAGTGTTAAAACCATCATCAAGATGCTCATAAAGTAAGGTTGCTTTTCACATTTTGTAAAAACCTTTCAATTGTAATTTACAAAAAGCTGATGTTGACGAAATAGTGAAAGACTTAAAGTCGACTTCTTTGAAACAAAGAGACTTTACAACAATTATTTATGTAAAAGCAATTGTTTAAAAATAATTAAATACCGTTATACGAATTTAAAAAAAAAATATTTAAGTATTAAAATGTAGAGTAATTCAAACTCAATTGATACTTATTTTAAATGTATTAATGTAAACATTAATTCTAATTTTTAAGATGTTTTTTTGTTCTTACAATAAAAAGATAATCAACAAAAAATAATAACAACAAAGTTAGTAACAAACTTAGTTGTTAATAATTGATTCTGGTGATGGAGTTTATACTTACCATATTTAATATTATAATTATATTAATAGTTTGTTTATTATAATTTTGTCTTTAAATATGCTTTAAAAAATTTGGTTTTCCTCATTTTATCAACAAAGGCCTTTAAGAAAACATTATCAAAAAACATGACGAAAAAACTTGAAATTCAATGAAAGTTGTGACATCCGAAGCCACCTCTGACACCATTCGCGAGGAGTATGAATGGTACATTAACACACTCAAACCCGAAATAAAAACAACACAAGAAAAACTTGGACAAATAAAGACGTTAATCAGCCCCACAAAAGAAACTATTAATGAAGAGTGTCTACGTTTTGATTTGTTTGTATTTTTAATCAACGAACATTACTCATTACTGTAATTAATATTCTCACAACAAGAGATGGGTTTCAAGGAATGGTACAACTCAACGGGACTGAATGTTCGGGTTCTGTTTGTTTGTGAATGAATTGTCATATTCGGAAATGACATATAGCGTATTGTAATTAACAACGAAGAGTGGTCACATAAGCCAGAGGCGTTTTATATTGTCGATTGTCCACTGAAACAAATGTACAACGTATTATATGTCATTGGAACAATTGAGGATGATATCTCCTTATTGGACCCATTCAAAATCAATGACTATATCGAACTTGTGACAAAGATATATGACATGATCGGAGAGGCTCTCGACTCAATTCGAAATCGACCAACGCTAATATTTCCATTTACCCCCACACATACATTCTTCATGCGCGCACACCCAACTGTCACAGCGGATATATACATTGAGCATTCTGAAATCGTTGTGAAGATATTTAAGTTAGACTCTGTCGGCAGTAAAAACCCTTCCCCTTCAATAAACGACGGAGACGTTAACGAAAGTGTTGAAGTGAAAACACGACAAAGAACAGCACAAGCGTTCTTGATAGAGAGTAGGTACTATTGGGTGGAGAATGTCGAAGAGATCCACCTCACGTGCCAGAAATTGGACGAAATTGTTAATATACTAAGCGAGCTCCAAGAAATGTGGGGACTCATAGAAAACAATGTGACGCAGTTTGCTTCTTAATTGTATATGATATTGTAAATGGGTTCTTGAATTGTAAATGATATAATTGATTTTATTATAATTAGTTATTCTTTAGTTTTATTCGAGTTACCATATACTATTAAAATATGGTTAATTAAATAACAATGAAACTATGATTTCAAAATATTTTTTAGAAGTTTTTGTTATTATTAGAAATGGATTTTTAAATTAAAACTTTCTTATATCGATTAATTACAAATGATATAAATAAATCCACCAAAAATTTGCACTAAAACCCAAAACATAAATTTAAAAAGAAACAAAAAAATTCTATTTTTTTCCTGAGCATAAAACATCCCTCAAATAATTTCATTGAGCTTTTCACAAGACTTTTTTGGTTGGAAAGAAGTCTTCTCACAAAAACTATTTTAGTAATGATGTACACAAAAAGCTTGATCTTCCTTGACTTTAACAAGGCAAGCAATCCTCTTCCGACCCATTTTGCCTCTTTTGACCCTGTTTCACAAAACAAGCAAGAAATGAACAACTTCCAGCTCCCTTATCTCAATAATTTGTATAAATTTGCTTGAAATGACAAGTGTTATAACGGGTTATTACAATGGCCAATAAAAGAAAAAATTGTTGACAGATACAAAAAAGTGACAATCCAATCAATTTATAACAAACTAGAATATATTAATAAATTAATTATATTTCAATTGTTTCGGTTTGCAGTGGTCAAGTCGTGATTATAAAGGTTTCGATGGTTGCAATCTGGGCAACTTTGTTTCGTTGGTTTACATTGTTATTATTCTTCAACATTTTATAACATTTTAATAAGAAAATATAATATTAATAAAGGATGACAAATGAGAATGCCCAATTAAAAAAAAGTTAGCAACAACTTAAGCAGTGAAATTAAAGGATTCGAATTTCGATAATTCAAAGGATTTCTTAAAATATGACCTTTTTCAGAACCAATACCATATAAACTTTTTTATCAACACTGTTAATCAATGTACACTCACAAATTTATAGAACATGTCCGCCAGCAAATTCTTTGTCGAAAGAATACTGCTCTTATTCAGAAACGTATGAAGGGCTGTGTCTGGAATGAAGACGTTTCGGACTATTCAGACTCTTTTGTTGACGACGAAGTCACATCAATTTTAGAGAAGAAAGAAGGAAGGGAATCTTTTATGGACATCCCCAAAGACTTTAATAAGGTACAACCAATTGACCAACGCTCTTTAACACCAGACTTGTATAGAAAGAGTCTCTGATTATATATGTTGTCTATTTCTTAGTCATTATTTATTGTTGTTATAATTATCATTCATTCTACATAACTCATTAAAACTAAAACATAACTCAGTCACTTCGCAATGGGTGAAAGCTGTCGCCAGCAACAACCATTCTCTTTCGTTGATGAAGAACATTTGCATATTGCGTTGAAGTTATTTGGTCGTATGATATCCCTTTTATCGAATAAAACTTTTGCTTGAGACCAGATAAGATCTCGTAGACTACACCACCTTGTGGGTCGACATACCCACTTAAGAAATGAACTCGATCCTCTCCATTAACAACTTTCACCCATGTCGCACCACACTCCCACTTCTTTACAATCACTTCCTTCCCTTTTATATACACTTTGTCTTGTCGGAACAACTTCTGCACGTCTTCTTCATCAGAAAAGAGAACTTCAACTGTCCCTTTGAACGTCAATGTACCATTGATAAAATGCATCTTCATTTCTTCGACTTTACCAAACGTGTTAAGCCATCGAGATACTTCTTCAAGACTTAAAGAACAAGGCACCCACGTCACTTTCACACAACGCTCTTTGACATCGGCAATACTCTCCCTCACTACTCTCCGAACAGACTTGTTGTCATTAGAAAGCTCAAGATACTTGGATGTTTTTAACATGTCGACTAATTCTGGAAGAGTCTTGTTGTGTTGTGAAACCAACTTAAACTTCGAAATGACATCGAGCGGGACATAGCCCTCCGAGTCGCTTTTCGTTTGTAAAAATGCGTCCGAAGAAAAGTTGAGTGTTGAAAAGTAGAACTCGATCTGTTCAAGTAAACTGCGTTGCGCCAACATGAATACACAGAATGTTTTTTTTCAGTTGGATTTTTTCGAGTTGACAATAAATACAACAAATTCTATTTAAACGACAAAAAGTACTATAATTTAATTATAATTAAAGATCAAATAACAAAGTCTTTGAGCAACAACTCAAGCGTCTTGTCCATGTCGAGTTGTTTAGTCTTCACTGCAAAAAGGAGGTTGTTGTAGTTTGCAAGAATTTTTCTAAGTTCGACGGTGTCTTCTTGTTTTTTGATTGAGTGTACAGTGATCACTGGACATGCCATATTTGGTGTTTCATTAAGAGGGGTGTAGTGTGGCGGAATGATGTTACTTATAATTGGAAATAGTGAAGGTGATACTCCCGTCATTGGTGCATTAAATACCCATCTTAATGGATCAAAATCTATTTGATTACAAACATTGGCAAAGTCTATAATTTTCAGAGCTTCTAATATTGTGTTTTGAGAGTATTCTTTATCGCCGTTGTTCATTAAAATGTCCATCTATTCGTTATTAATAAAATAATTAATAGTTAATTTTTAATTTTTAATTTTTAATATAATTATTAAAATTAATATATGAAGTAACAAACGAGTTGATACAAAATGGTGCCAAACAAACACCTAACCATCACAAAGGAACACTTGATAATAATAACTCTGACAAAGAGTAATATACTACATAACTCATCATCGCTAATTTTTGGTAATAAAATTGAATGTGAGAGAATGGTAAGTGTCTCCATTGCTAATTTGTCGAAGTCACCGTATTTCCCACATAAGACTATAAAAGCTGCTCTTCGAAGTTCAAGTGGGTTATGTGGTTCTTCTTTCCGATTCGAATACCCTTTCGATCCTTTCCACACCAATTCGATCCGTTGTGAAAATACTGTGTTGATGATAGGCATCCACACTTTTAAACGTGATGGTGTTGAACTGAAAAAGTTATTTTGAGTAAAAATGGAGACAACTATATTTTGCCATTTCCCCGTCAGTAAATTTGATTTCTGTAATAGTAGAAGCACATCATCAACAAAACTCGTTTTGCCTTGAGAAAGTAAGCTCTCAAGTTGTGGCACAAACGGTGTCAAACAATTATTTCCGGTAAAGAACGTGACGAAGCCATTAGTTGTTTGATTCACTGCTATCATGAGGGGGATCACATCACTGACAAAACATTTGTAATCGTCTTGAATAGAAATTTTCGTAACTGCCGTGTTAAACAAACTTGAAAAATTGGTGGAGTTCAAAAATTGGTCTTTAGGAACGTTTTTGATTTCGACACAAGACGCCAGTGATTTCAGCGATTTAAAAAAATTCGAAGTCGAACTTTTTTGTAAAGCAGTTGCAGTTGCGTTCATGAATTTTACAAGCTCTGGCAACACAGACATCAAATCGTCAAGCGAAGCAACGGGCAATATTTGTATTATAATTTCATATAACGTCTCTTCGGGTATTTTGGTTCCTTTAAACAACTCACAGAATGTTAGGACAAGTAATTTGACGTTTGGCTTTGGAAAGAGCAAAAAGAGTGTGTTGAATACCTGTCTGTGTTCCTTTTCATTTCCAACGTGTTCTAATAAACTTTCAGTGAAATTCACAAAGACTTGTTCTAATAAAGAGACCAAACTTTGTTTAACACATTTCTCGATCTCTTTAATTTGGATTTTGCTGAGTTGATTGTAGACCTCGAAAATCATTGAAAAGAGTCCAAAGATGAGTGGCTTGAAAAAATGCTCCTCTCTTCGAAATCCAAAGACAGTGATGTTTGAATTTGTTGGTGTTGAACATGGCGGATATTCTTCAAAGACTCTATCTGTCAGTCTGCAGACTATACCAAGCAAATTGAGGACATTGGAATAAAAAGTGTCATTGTTAGCTTTGATCAACATTGGAATTTTTAAGAAGAGCTCTGGGAGGATTTTTGTTGTCAAAGTTGGTAAAAAAGTGTTTGGCGAGTAAAAGGCGAGGTCTGTCAATATTTCTGGATTGACAAGAATTGTAGTGGGTAATGCGTCGATGGCTGGTAACACCAAATTGTTTGCTCTTTCTGTACAACTTTCAGAAGTGGACTTGAGAAGAATTCGAGCCAAAACAAGTAACTTAGATGAGAAGACTGGCGACAATGTGTGTAATGAAAGTGACTGCCCGACAGCTTTTAATGTTTCTTGGGCAAAAGTGGTGATGACCTTAGAATGCCCAAATCTAGTGAACAATGTAATGAGTAAGTCTGCTGCTGGGATGCTTTCTCTGACAACGCAGATTTGTTCTATAATAAAGAAAACAATAGAAATTGGCGTGTTTGTTTGATTAGAAGGCATCGAGTAGATATCAAGTAAGTCGAACATGACATGTGTTGTCTGTGCTGATATTAATAATTCCAGACACCCTGGAATGTCCGATTCAATCAGTTTAGAGAAGTAATTAACAAATGTCGACTCTCTTTCTATTTGTTCTGTTGTATTTAATTTGATCGTATATAACAGTTTAATCACTGTTTCCGAATTGGTTTGTACTAATTCAGTTGTATTTTTAGGTGGAATTAACACAGAAAGAATTGTAGTGATAAAAAATGTTGGGTTGCGTGTCATCAAGAACGCAAACCAGTCTCTATAGACTTTGAAATATGTGGTGTCTGCTTTCATCAATGAAAAGACGACAAATTCGAGTTGCTCGGTGTTGATCATCTTCTCATAAAACACAGAGAGGTGCATACACACCAAAAGTCGCTCATAGTCTTCGATCTCTTTAAAAATAGAAATCGGCAAATACGCCGCATTTACAGCCAACAAGGAAATTATAATTTGCACAAATTGTTCCCCCGTCGACACGTTTTTCCAAAGAAAAGAAATAATTTCATTTGTTTTGGTATACTTTTGAGAGACACTTACTAATTTAAAGTAGAGTTTGCAACAAACTAATGACGACGCCAAATTCTCTGACGCCAAAATATGTTCACAAAGTGTGTCTGAGAGTTTGGAGTGAAAAGACTCGTTCTGAGTAATTGTTGCAAAAGCATGTACTAAGTGCATCATGTTACTAAATGTCGACATTTCACTCTCATTAAACACATGCACCAAATGATTCAATTCTGTTCTTAATAACTCGGGCACTTCCAAAAAGGATATTTCAAGCTTAAGAGTCTCGTGAAGACTTGAAATGAGCTTCTTGATAATAACAAGAGCGGCTTCTAAAATTGGAAGGTCGCATTTCTTTGCGACTTTGGAGAAGTAATCCAACACAATTGTTTTAAACAATGAAATGACAAATTTGGTGTACTCCTCGACTTGTGTTTGTGATGGAAAGTAATACATTGCCAAGACAATTTTTTCTGTGGGTTCAAGCGAATTAAAAACGTCGAAAAAGGTCTGAGAGAACGTGGTGTGCAAAATTGATTGAATTGCTCCAGAGCGCTCCCTGTCGTACTTCTTGCTGTTAATTTTTATGAACAATTTGAGTAATGGAAGTGCAAGAGAATTGCCAACAAATTCAGTCAACATTTTGTTGTTAACGATCGACACTAATATTTGTGTGGTGTCAATTGTAGTCTCATAAAATGTACTTATTAACTCGTTTACTCCACACAAAAAGAGTTGTTTAGTGTTCTCTGTGAATTGGTTTTGATCTGGTGTTCCGATAAGCCAGAGACACGCTTTTTGAACGATACCAGAGTCTTTCGACGTGAACAGTTTGAGGACAATTTGTATTAATTTTGTCTTTTGATCATCAGAAAAGACCACTGAATTGATCGGGATTTTGTCGTTCAAAAAGTCGAGCGTTTTGCTGACTACCAAGACATCACTACACCACAACAATTCACAGAGAGCACGATGCACATCACTTTGAGTAACATTTCTGAAGTCTGGCGTGTAAACAGTCGAAGCCATGAAATGTAAAAGACCTTGTCGTGTGTGTGGTGTTGTATATAAATAAACCCACATAGTCTTTTCAAATAAATATTGATTCTTGCTCTTCACATTTTTAAAAAGAGTGAAAGCAAGCTCGGAAAGTCCATTGAGCGGTTGGAGTAATGACTGAGAAAAGCAAGATATAATTGGTTCCGTCATCGAGTCTAAAAGTGGTTGTCTTACCAAAACAAAATGTTGCACCACTTCAATACACCTTGCCCTGATAAGCGGAAGTGCTGTTTTGCCCATAACAAAAAGAGGCGGCATTAACACTTGAATATTATCTTCCAATTCTTCTTCGGTAAATCCTTTGAAAAAAGTGATGATTAAATCGATTAAAACACCATGAACAAGTTGTGGGAAAACGGGGTCGGACGCTTTTATTAAAACTCCTAAAAATTCCGTCTTGTATGGAAGTGTTGGTATTCGACTCGTTGAAGCAGCTCCAAGCAAATTGTTAAGTGGGGTGTACAAATCCGTCCAATCAGAAATGTTCTGTGTTTGGTCGATAAAAGAACGGACTTGTGTTTCGAAGGTTGCACCCCATGAAAATTTAAAAAAATTCATCACACTTTTTGAGTTCTTTTCTTGAAGAAGCAATTGAATGTGTTGTTATTCTATTTTTAATTATTTTTTGTGATTAAAACTAACGATAATAATACTTATTTTATCGGAATTAAATTCGTTCATTTTTTTATTAAAATGTGTTTATTTTCTCGATAAAATTGTGTTTTGTTTAAACCATTAAATAACTAATTTTTATGAATTTTGAATTGACTTAACAATATAGTAAATATAATTGTTTTTTATTGTATAATAATTATAAGTTTTTTTGAATTAATACTCTAATAAATAATATAATAAAAGTATAAAACAATCAATTCCTCAAAAATGTTATATAGAAAAAATAAAAACCTACTCGAAACTAATAAAATCAAATGGATAAGAAAAAGAAACAAGACCAGAATCAACAAGAAGTTCCTCAAAAGAGACAAGCAGTTATTTTGGTCGAGAACGAAATTGTTGACATGCAGTGCAACGCTGTTTGTTGTAATTATTTTAAATCAAATAGTTTGAATACTTATAAGTAGTCGATGCTTATGATACTTAACACTCCACTTATTCAATACATCGTTGAACATTTATTAGCCCAAAATATACAAGAGATATTCATCGCGTGCAGCGAACAAAACAAACAAAAAATTCAGCTCATTCTGGACACCCCACTCAAGTCGAAGAACGTGCAATATATCGTGTGTGCAGAAACAAACAACGCAGGCGAAATAATCAGACAAATTTCCGAATCGCCACTTTTGGATTCGAACGAGTTGATACTCATTAAGGGTGATGTCATTACGACAATGCAATTGGAACCAATTTTGAAGTTCCATCGAGAGATATTACAGTCCGATAAAAGTCACATAGTGACAATGGTCTATAGGAAAAACCACACCGTCAACGAGTCGCGATCTACAAACGACAAGACTGTGATCATCACAAACGCTTTAACAAACCAAATTCTTAAAGTCGATGACAGACACGACAAAACAAAGAGAAATTATCGACTCAAAATGTGTTATAACAAAGAGACGCCAAAGATTGGAGTACACACAGATTATATGGAGACCGGAGTCTTTATCGTTACAAGACAAGGACTCTCTCTTTTTAACGATGCGGAAAATTGCGATATCAAAGAATTTCCAGAGGCGTTTTACGCTCGAATATTAGATTTGGACGCGTTAATACACTTCCATATGCACTGCTATGTTACCAACGAGAAAGAGTATTCGGTGAGAATACGAGATATCACAACTTTCAGAAAAGTCAGCAGCGAACTCCTTCAAAGACACGCGTATCCATATACAACCAACCTTGGAGTCTATAGTTTTGATATCAAAATGTATGACCACAATGTCATTGCACACGTCAAATCGACAATTCCGTTGAGTGTCATACAAAACAGTAAGAATGTATTGTTCTGTGAAGAGTCGGTGATCAACGAGAAAGTTGTTGCCAACGACGCGGTGATATGTTCCAATTGCGTGATTGGTGAAGGGAGTTTGATTGAGAATTCGCAGATCTTCAAAAATGTTCAAATAGGGAAGAACGTGAAAATCATATCGAGTGTAGTTGGGAACAATTGTGTGATTGAAGACGGTGCTGTTGTGAAGGGGAAGTTCTTGTGTGAATACACAAAGGTGTCCCGTGATCAAACTGAGGTCAATACAAAGACCGTTGAGAACACGAGAATGAATCATATTTATGGAGAAGATTTGTTCAGGTCGGGAAGTGCTTTGATAACTTTGAATGACGCAGAGAGTGATGACGAAGAACCAAATATAATGAAACCGAGTCTTCAAACGTTTGATTCATTTAGAAACGAAGTCACGAAGTTGGTTATTGCGTTCCAAGAAAATCAAAAACATGGCACTTTACAAAGTCAGTTCCACACGGAACTCACTTCTATAAAAGCGTCTTATAATTACACAATTGGACAAACATTTGCAGCATTAATAGAAGCACTCCTTTTAATTGGTGATAAGGAATGTAATAAAGACATCGAAGACCATTTGGAATCCCTTGAAATGCTATGGGAAATGAATAGCAATTTCACCCTCGAGCCAAATGATCAAGTAGAAACGTTATTCTTCTTGTGCGAGTTCTGTGATGATAATACATACTTTGAAGACTCGTTCGTGTATATCATGAACGCTTTGTATGAACACAACTTCATTTGGATCGACTCAATATGGAAGTGGAAGGAGGTTTGTGTTTCCACGCCAGAAGAACACCAAAAGTATCTCGACTTGTCTGAAGCTTTTTTGACGGCTCTTAAAAATGCCGAAGACAGAGGAGATGTTGAAGAAGATGACGAAGAAGAAGAGGAGGAAGAGGAAGGCGAGGAAGAAAATGAAGAGGCAGAAGAAGAAAATTAAATCAAAGTTGTTTTACAGTTTATAACTAAACATTTATAATATATATAATAAAAAGTATTAAAATGATAGTGTTTATACAACAACTTTTTTATTAAAAAAGCAAAAATTTATTTTAAACCATATTTTATTAGTTTCATATTAATATCTATAATTTATTGCCATTTATGGAACAAAAGAAATGACAAAGATAAATACCACCTTATTATTTATTTTTAATAAATGTAATTAATTTCATAGTAAAAAATAAAATTATTCGACTTTTTGTAAAATGGAAAGAATCAAAATAATATAATAATAATTAAAAACAAAAAAGTGCATTTGCCGGGACTCGAACCCGGATCTCCACCTTGGAAGGGTGGAATTCTGCCCTTAGACCACAAATGCTTCTTGAAAATTAATATAACTATTTGTTTTTATTACATTGATAGTTATTATTAATGATTAATTAATGAATTGGTTAAGATCATTGATAATGGCAATAAAAAAAGTGCATATAAAGCATAATTAAAATTTTAAAGTGACATGATTTGTGTCTTTTTTATAAAACGATCTTTAATTTATATTTATAGTATATAAATAGTTATTTTTTTCTTTCTCTGAAATTTTTTTTACTTATAACAATTTAACTATTTAATAATTAATTTTATATTTATAAAACTATTCAAAAAACTGAAAGGTGTGACAGTTAAAACAGACAGACAAAGGTATAATAAATTATATGATGTTGTAATTAATTTGTAGTACATGATATGAATTAGTGATTTCACATATTGAAAGAGCTTAAAAAACACTCAATAATATTAGTGGTATAAAAGATAAGTCAACGAGACGTTTCAAAGAAAAGAATACAAAAAGGTATTGAGGTTGTATTAAAACCCCAAGAAGTGGAGCACAAGGTGTGAGGCAGGTGGTGGATCGATTGGGAGTTGTTCTGGAATTTGTGTCAAAGAGAGTGTATTATTAAACGCGGACATGTCTGTTCCCGAAAAGACATAGTCCAGCACTGAAATTTCATCGTTTGTCAATTCCAAGTCCATAATAGTTCTTTGTGAGAGGATGAAGCTTGGTTGTCCAATAAAGACCTTTTTCAAGTAGTTTCTAAACTTTCTTGTGATTGGTGCGAGTTGTTCTGCGTCGATAGTCTTTCCATTCGGGAATGTGTATTGTTTCCAAATATAAAAATTGAGTGTTTTTGTTGTTGTCTTTTGATTTGAGACTTGGCACGTCAACTTGAAGTTTTGTTGGATTAACACATATGAGAGAAATGAAGCGAACGCTGCTTCTCTGTTCTTGTTCTTCCGTTTTTTCAAAAATTCTTCATTTCGTGTTGAAAGTGGAGTTGTCACTTGTTTGATGACTGGCGCGTCACTCCACAACGTCTCACATCCAATCATTTTAAAGTTGTTTGACAAAATATCAATTTTGGAGGTGATGTACTCTTTCATACCACTTTGTAACATCGTTTGATCAAAGACTTCTTTTGTCACGACTAAATAGGCGCTCGATTTCTTGCGCGCTTCTACCCACAATTTTCGAACTACACACTCAAAAGTCACTGCACATTCTTGAATCATCGTTGGAGTGTATCGTTGCTGATATACGACATCATCGGTGACATACACTTTTTTGGCATAACTCGACCGTTTTGTTTTGTGAAAGCGAAGTTGTGTGTTATGCGACGCAGCTAATACGATCAACTCACTGTTGCACTCAGCCTTGCTGTTTCGTGTTTTTCTTTGTTTGATTGCATCACTCGAAGCTCCTTTTGGTGGTAAACTCATTCCATCCATTTCGAGATGGATGTTTCGATTTTTTATTATTCAACTACATCTTCCTATTTTGTGGTACAACTATAGCAATTTGTGTGAAGTGGGTGTGTTTTTATATCCATTTATATGTCTTATTATAATTATAATATAATTATACAATTTTTTATTATAATAAAGTTTTGTTTGGTTAGCAAAAAATTATTTTGCTCGGCATTTTACCCTTCATACAGATTTTAAAAAAATTGGTCAATATTTTTTTATTTTGGAATCAGAAGGTGGATCCTTTCAGGTGGTTTGTCAGACTTTTTATTGCTAAATACTTAAAGTACATTTCGTTGTATTGAACTCAAAAATGAGTAATAAGGCATATCAATGTATCTGGTAAAATATTGTTTTTTTTTTAATTTTGAGAATAAGTATTAGAATGAGTATAGTTAATAATATGATATTAAGTATATAAATATTTTTTTCTTTTAGTATTGGGTGGATAAGAGATTTGATAATGCCTTTTTTTCAACAATAAAAAAAATGTAATTTAATTAATATACCAAAAATGTATTCTATTGTATATTATATCATTTATTGTTATTAAAATCAAATTAGGAATTTATCTAACAAAAATAATGTGTATTTTTTGGAACAAACTTTTAAAATCCAATTTTCTCAGTGAAAAAAGTTAATAAATAAGAGAAAAAAACAAAATGGAAAATTATTTCGGGTAGATTCTATTATCTTGCCCAATTTAGACGCAATTATCAACTTTTTCAAAAATTAAAAAAATTTGATGGTTTTTCACTTCAAAAAAAAAATCATCGTTATATAATTACATTATTTAAAAGTTAATAAAATGGTTTTAGTTTTTTTTCTAAATTAAAAGTTATTAAATTTATAATGGTAAACTTATAATTTACTTTTTTATATCACAAAAATAATTAAACCAAAGGCAAATATAAAAATGTCATCAAAATTGTTTTTCTCTAATTAGTAAATTTAATTAAAACTATATTATATATATTTTATTAATAAGTATTAATAACAATTAATTATGAAATATACAATAAATAAATCATTTGTTAAGCAATTATTAATAGTAAACTGAATTAATAATAAAATAATAAAAATATACCAATTTAAATTTATAACCAATTTAAAATAAAAAAAGACGATTACAATTGAAACAATAAATGAACTAAAAACATAATATGGACAACTCCCAAGACAACGACGTCATAGTGTATGTTTCCGTCGCATGGTATACATTATTAATGTTAGTCATAACGGGAGCGACATATTGGAATTACTTTTTTCCTCCATTTAGCAAAACGTTTTGTTTCTATGTGATGAGTGAGGTCATCTTTTTAGTTCGTTTGTTTTTGCTACTTGTAACAACAGACTAATTATACAGTCCAAACGTGTTGTTTCTGTCAGTACAAAGGTTCCACGTCTTCATGTGTAGTGTTTTTGTTTCAACGACTTTGTGACGTCCTTCATGTTTTGACGCTTTTTCAGTCTTATTTTGTATGGGCAAATGGTTATTTTATGAATGTCACATATGGTGTTAAAAACGCGTGGAATAGTTTAAAATTTCCATATGTAATGTTTGGACTCTATATCATCTATTTCATATATATCATAACCCTCACAGTCATTTTTATGCTGTTGTCTGGGGATTGTACTGTTTGTTATATTCATGAAATTAATGCTAAACGTTCAAATAATAATTTAATTAAATTAATAATTCACTGAGAAGTAAATGTCTAATGAATAGTCTGTCGTCTATGACACTCTATTCTTGATCATTCGATACTCCAATTTTTCTTTGAACATTATCGTGATCTTCACATTAATAGGATTACTCGCATGGTTTGTTCATTACAATAAGCGTGTCGCAATCACTCGTCAAACGATATTGTGGAAAGTGTATCTAATGTTTTTAACAACAGTTTGTTCTTCTCCAAATGTTCTTCTATTTAACAATAACAAAATAGTTTGGCATTGCCACCCTCATCATGGTTTTGATTTTGTTATTCAAATTGGTCATCGCAACGGTCGTCGGTTTTGCAAATGTCGAGCTCCCCACTCTGTGGTACAAAATTTGTGTCCACCACATCCCAGACACGCTTCAGACTATTGCAGAGCTTATATTGGTTCTTAACTTCAATCACTGCTTCAAATGGGTCAATCGGTACGAGTACTGACTCGCTAAAAAAAGAAAAAAAATTTACTGTCTTCTATTAATAGTTAATTCTCTAGTTTATTTATAATTCAAAAGAAGGATTGTGCCACTTTATTTTGTAGTTAAATAAACCATAAAATAAGCTATTAAAAACATGACAAAGGTTTGAAGACATTTTAGTTTTCAAGCTATATTTCAATAGTAACACAAATTATTAACAAAGAATTACAGATGAAACCATTCAGAAAAGCGACAGAGTCTATAAAAAACGCCGAAAAATAGAAAAAAAACGACAATAAGACGGTGCCAAACGGGACTCGACGGTCGGAACTTCAAAAGGAACTTTAAAAATGAAAAGGAGAAGATGGTATCGATCAACTTCACATTAATTCTTCGAGGCGTATACGCCTTTGCGGGGCTTTTTGTCTTTTTGACTGGACTGATCCACTTGTGTGTGAGTGGATGGAAGGGATGGTCTGTTCATGGAGTGCAGTCTAATGCAAGTGTGGTATGTGGGTTCATAGCTATTCTGTTGATGATCAATGGTATTTATATGATCTTATCACCATTTGTTATGTACATTCCAGTAGCCAAAGACTACGCTAACTTCTGGAATTTATACACTTCTGTCGCTTGGCTGATAATCACGGGTATAGTCACTCTTTTCTTTACCGGCTTTTTCGGTCTTACAACATCTATCATCTGTTGGTTGGTCTCAATCTTTGCTATTGTGTTGTCTGTTCTTTCTTGCTTAAGACCAGATACTCAAGAGAGAGACAATGACAAAGATGACGAAAAAGACCCGTACAACGTTTAAAAGTAAATCACTGATTTTTATATCATCTGTTTATTATTAGTAAAATATAATACTTTATACTAGAATTTAATAGGACAGACGCATTATGTTCAAGAAGAGATGACTTCAACACTAAAATACGATAATAACAATTAGAGATGTGGCATAATCGGCTCTTTGACTGTTTCTGTACTTAACTCATCAGGAGTACCGAGCGCAAATTGTGAGAAAAAGTGTGTTGGTATTGGAACATCCATTTTGAATGGCTGAGAGTTGTACACACGCTCGGCCATTTCACCCAATGAAAGAACTTCAATGTGGTTCTTCTGACAGTACTGAAGAAAGTTTTCTACTTCTGCTATGTTGTATGGTCTGTCGTGGCATACTACTATACTTCCATTACTGACCGAATGTCGTAACAAAAAGGATGTGAACGTAGTGTTGTCTGTCTGCGCGTCAAATGCGTAATTTGACCCAATCACCATCCGATAATTTAAATTGTCGATTGTGTCAAACATGAATGACGAAGGAAGTCCTGAACCTGGGCGAAACCACTTATACTTCTGTCCTCGTGTAGCTTCTTCAATAAGAGTGTCTGTATGTCTGTCAGTATATTGTTTTTACTAGAGAATTATAGTAAAACTACGAGAAAGATATAAGAATACAAACTTGAAGAACTTTCTCAGCGAATTCAGTGGGAGTGTTTTTGAATGAAGGCTCGTCGTGGAGTGTGTGATTCCCAATTTCATTGCCCGCTTCGACTATTTGAATGAGCTTTTCTTCACGTTCTTTTATTCTGTCACCAATAACAAAAAATGTGGCGTGTGCATTGTACTGCTTAAGAAGAGCAACAAACTGCTCAGTTTGATTCGACGGTGAGTCGTCGATGGTCAACGCTATAACACGCTCCTTTGTATCAAAATAAAAAAAGGCCCGCTTCTCGTACTTCGCTATAAGCTTGATAACCCACCGAGACTGAAAAAGTATTGAGTAGACAATGTAGAGAAAAGTAACAAGTAAAAGCAATATCAGTAAAACTCCTCCTAACATCCACCATATCGATTTCATTTTGATTATAGAGTTGTTTTTGTTCTATCTTTATGATTGTTTTACTATTTAATAATAGTATCTTATTTATAATTTTACTATAAAAAACAACAGCAGACAAAATATGTTCAAAACTATTTTGATACAATATTAATTGGTAGCTATAAATTAGGCAAATTCCCGATTATAACGGACATATTAAAATGTTTTGTTGTAGAAGTTTATTGAATTTGGTCGAATATAATTTAAATTAAAAAAAACTCAATGACAAGAAAACGCATCAATTATTAAAAAAATTATTTTTATTTCGTTTTTTTATATCTAAAACAGCATTTAGTTTAGTTAATAATTAAATATAATAATATAATGACATTACCTTTTAATTAGAAGTTAAATATTAATTAAAATGAAATATATAAACTAGATATAAACAATTAATAAAATAATTAATACATTTATAAAAATTCAAAAATATAAAGAAAAAAAACAAAGAAAATCAAGTAAAAAAAATATTTTTGGGAAAGCTAAAAATAACTTGTTTTAAAAAACAATTAGTTATAGTATGTTTATTATAAAAATACCATATAAACATTTTTAGAAAAATAAAAAACCAAAAAACGTCTTTCAAATTTCACAAAACCACAACTTTTACAGAACTTTAAAAATACCTTTTTATAGTTTAGAGGTATCGATATATAATGAAGAACTTTAAAACCGAGTTGTTCGATGTCGTTGACTGACGCGGAGAAGACAAAACTTCAACAAATTTCAAGCAAGAAATACAAAGAGCAGGCGATCTGGTTTTTGAATGCCTACTGGGCTGAGAATGGTGAAGCTGTAGCTGAGAAGGTTTGGGACGTCTGCAACAAATTTGCCGAATTTGATCAAGAGAATAAGGCGGAAGGATGTTCTCTTGATGAGATGAACATTCATCGAATTCTTGAATTCTACCAGAGCCAACAAACCATTCAACAGTTCAGAGAGTCATTAAGAAGCCAACAATTTGAGGTGAAGAAGTTATATGCCCTTGGCGTCTATTTGTCTTGGAATTACAAATTGACTTTGAAGAAGTTTGTGAATGCGCCACAAGGAGCTCAAAGTGCTGAGATGGCCAAGGCACAAGAGATGGTCGACCAAGTCGGGAAATTATTAGAAGAAGCCAATGCGAAAGCCACTGAAGCTACTAAGAAAGACAAAGAACTCGAGACTGCTTTGAATGCGTTGAAGAAGGAAGAGACTGACTTTAATAATAAGACGGAGGAACTGAAACAACGAATTGAGAAGGAAACAGGCGTCGTCAAGAAAAATAGAGCACAGGCCGAACTCGCACAACATTTGGAGTCGGACCCACTCCCATTAAGAAAAGCGAAAATCACATGTGAAGCTGCAAAGAAGAAGTCGGAGAAGGCTCGAAAGGAAGCTGAAGACGCTGCTGAAGAAATGAGAAAAAAGATGGAAGAGGCCGAAGCGTATTTGAACGAACAAAAAGCAGCAGCTTCTGCTGGTATGGGGTTGATGTGGTGGATGCAGAGAGAATTAACAGAAAAGAAGAAGTATATGCCAACAAGAAAGGGAGGAGTAGCGAAGAAGTAACTTCACTAATTTCATTTCGATATTCAACATTACAGTTTCTTGTGTTTGATTGGATTTTTTTGAAATTTTTTTAAGACAATTGAAAACTGTTTTTGTCATTTTTAATGAAAAATTGAAACTTGAATTATCTTTTTCTATTTCTCAATGCAAAACGGGAAACGGTTACAAAGCGGCTCGTTACAAGACCTCCAAAGAACTAAACAAGAAAAGAAGAGTAAAAACCCATTCAGTTTTATTGTCTCGTTGTTCAAAGATGACCCGAAGCCACAGGAACCAAAAGTATATAAAGTGCGAATGGTGCAACCGACTCCTCAGTGTTTTTCAGAACCACTCATACGACCAAAGAGTCGAACGAAAAGCACTTTCATTGCAAAACCAATGAGTGACGACGAACTGGAAATCATTGAGAACACTACACAACTGAAAATGGACGACTTGAAATCGACATATTACGACCACCTTAGAAGTCTTCCACTCAAAGAGCTTGAGAACATCGTCGAGTATATTCCTATGCGTCTGAGCGAGAAGGAGCGCGTGTTGTTGGAAATAGTAGAAAATGCATTTGAAGTGAGTGAATACACAAGTGCAGTTGATGTAGCAAACACCAACTATATGACATATGGCGGATATTACTGTACACAAGGTAATGTCGGGATCGACGAGTGCAAGAAAGAGGAGATCATCAAGTCGCAACAGAAAGAAGTAAAAAAGACGATGATTGGTCTTCTCATCTCGCACAACTTTAATATGGGGATCAACCTTTTGAAGAGCGAGGACGCACTCGAACAGTTCATGCAAGACTGCTTTGAAACTTCGCGGAGATACAAAGCGGCGAACCCCGCGATGATGATAAATACGTATCAAAAGATGATGCATTTGCTCCAAGACACTATCATATACAACCCACTTTTTATTGGCAGAAAGTTTGAAAAGACACGCAAATTTAAGCCGATATACACTGTTGGAGAGGCCATGAAGAACCTTGGAATGACACTCGACGAAATGATGAAAGAAATTCGACTTGGTGACGACGGGTTGGAGTTTGGGGAGATTGAAAAAAAGTATGGCGAAGTTGGTACGCGAGTGATTTATTCAGTCCGAGATGGAGTTGAGATGTCAGCAAAGAGTTGTGGTGTGGTTTATGGGATGTTGAAACAACTTGAAAAATTTCGCGAATGTAAAAAGGAAACGAATTTGTCGATCCAATATGGGGTCGATGGGTCGAAATTAACACAAAGCCATGAAGACCACTTTGTCTTTGTCCAACAAAGTCTGACGCTGTGGTGGAACATCATGAGACAGATGCCTTTCCTTTGGATAATGACGGACAGAGACTTCTTGAGCGGTGAAGAGTACAAGTTGATAAACACGGGACAGGGTCTTCAACGAATGCAAGACTGCCCGTCCGTTTCGAGTGCGATGAGCACTATACTTCGACAAACACAGAACTTAATGTGTGGAGGAAAGACGTGGAAAGGCCTTTCTGTGGTCCACTTAGGGGATAGAGATGTTCCAAACTGTTTATTCTTCATCGACAAGTATTCACAAGTCCCATGGATCTTAGCACCAGTCCTTAAAACGTCGAAGAGAATGTTTTCACATAAAGAGTTGAAGAGAGTCCCCGTGTACTTTGAGACGGTGAGTTCGCGAACGTGGGGAAGGATCATTTTGAGGCACTTTTATCAGCACGCGTTTGATGGGAGTGGTTCCGATGGGGGGAGTTGTATTGATGGGCGTTTGACGAGTTCGTGGAATTGGTGTTCGATGATCGAGAAGTACATCTACTACCCATTGTTTATGTTGTGTGATTTCGAGGGCTTTGATGGTCCATATAAAATGAAATGAATTTTTTGTGTTCGTTTTAAAATTTACAACTTTACTTTGAAGAGTTGTCCCTCTTCAACATTTCTTCAAGGTGGCATTTTTGTATATAAATTATCATATTAGAAGACCAGAGTAATAGAATCCAATTGTAGAGTTTATTTTAAAGGGAATTTGCATAGAATTCAGTGATGAATTCTTTCTTTGAAGAACTTGAAAGTAACAAAACCATGGAAGACGATGAGGATATCCCCGTTTTCAAAAGTTTGTTGTTTACTCGAAACACAAAAAAACTCAAACCGTGACAATTAGTCGTTATAGTCGGCGACGCCGACGTTGGAAAAACATCACTTTTGCTTCGATATATAACACAAGCATATCAAGAAGGCGTGCGATCAACTATAGGCGTCGACGTGAAAAAGAAAATTGTTGAAGTTCAAGGCCACAAAGTCGGGTTAGCATTTTATGACACCGCAGGACAAGAAAAATTCCAAAGCGTCTCGGACTCCTATTTCAATGGTTCCACCGCCTGTATTGTTGTCTACGACATCACCCGTTTGACAACATTCAAGAACATCGAAAAGTGGGTTGCGATGATCAAAAACAAATTATATGACGTTCCAATTCTCTTTGTTGGTAACAAGTCCGACATCGAGCAACAGCGCGACGTTCGTCTTGAAGACGGCGAGAACATGGCAAAGCGGTTCAACGCGTTTTTCATGGAGACGTCTTGCCTCAACGGCAATGGTGTGAACAAAGCGATCAACATTTTAGTCGAACACGCAGTTTCGGACAAACTTGTTCAGACACTCAAAGAGAGTCAACGCAACTCAGTGACACTCGAGAAACCCAATGTAGTTCAAGATAAAACCACGTGTTGTTGACTTGTTCTTTGGTTTTTATGTTTTAGTAATTATAATACTAATTAGTAATAGTATTATTCGATTATAATTAATAAACTAATAATAAATATTATTAGAATTCATTTAGAAAGAATTATAGAATATACTACTAATAAAAAAACTATCATGTGGAACTAGTGACAAAAAGGTATAAAAGTGAGTCAATGACACATACATCATAAGCGGAGAGAATTCTGACCTCACTCCTCATCAGAGTCGTCTTCTTCTATATCAGAGATGGCACACTCCTCGAACTTGAGTGAATCCAGTATAGTCTCCACCTTCTCACGTGTGGCCTGATTAGTCTGTGGCGAGAATTCGATCACATTAATCCCCATCTGCAAGTCTTGTAACTGTGTCATCTCCTTGTTAAACAACAGTCTTAATTCCCAAAGAAACCTGAAGTATTCTTCCCCATTTTTGCTTGTTGTTTCTTGTCTTCTGTAATGAGAAATAATGGTTCTGTCCTCATCTAAAATCACAGCAATTTCCCACACCATCGGTTGGGCGTCCTTAATAAACAAATTGCCGCAGACACCTTTCAGCTTCATTGTAGAGCTTGCGATGATCTTTTGATTGATTGCCTTCAAGAAAGTAATGACGGGCGACACTTCACTTGTTCCTTCGTCAACGTATACGCTTTTTAATACTCTCATTAAGAACGTTTTCTGGACCGACAAGTCTTCGCCATTGTCCATCACAGCATTCCACTCTTCGTCGACTTTCTCGCAATGTTTGTCGTCAAATATTTTAGTGATGCACTTGATGACGGACAAACAGTCTCCTGCAGTGATTTTATGACCGGAGACGTCTTTAATAATTTTGACTTTCCCACCGGACTTCTCCCCATTTTCAGGGAAGAGGCAACTGATGTCTTGGCCGACCTTTCTGACAATAGAAAGGTGTTTCAACAAACGAGGCAAATCCCCTGCTATTGGGAATGTCTCGAAATTGCCTTCGACTACAACTTTTCGAGTTTGATCTCTCCAATCCGGCATGTTTTTCAGTAAATTCACCATAGAGCCAGCAGCATATCCATTGGTCTTTGGATCGACTACAGGCGTTGTTGTGGACGGCGACTTGTCATCTTTTTTTTGGACTGACTCGGTCCGAGTGTGCGACTTCTTGTCTTTCTTATCTTTCTTCTCCTTTTCTTTAGCTTCTTTGGCCTTTTTTTTCTCTTCTTTCTTTGTGTCACTCTTTGAATCGCTGGAGGTGTGCTTGATCCGCGAAAACAAATCAAAGAGTTTGCTTTTTCCTTTCTTCTTCTCGTGCTTCTCCTTCACATCTTTTACGTCTTTCACGTCTTTAACTTCTTCGGCGTCCGACACTGTTTTGTTAATCACTATTTCATTCACAACCACCAAACAAACTTGTTTCTTTTTACTAAGTTCCATTTTCAAGTTTTTCTTCTTGCTTTCCCATGTTTGTTCGGAGTATTTCCCTCTTCTCTCCTCTAAAACAGTTATTTCTATTTGGGACAATAAAAAGTATCTTACGATCGACTGCTACTAAATAGCGGGGGGTTCTTGAAAATGAAAATTGAAATTTCTATTGTTGGAACTACTGGTTTATATAAAATAAACTAGAAATTTGGCTTTTTCTTCTTTTTTTTTCAAGTTGTCTTGTTCTTGGAAAAAGTTTTATTTTATTTTGGTGGGTATTTTTGGTTTAGTTCTTTTTTAGTTATTTTTATTATTAAGAAAAATGCTACTATTTTGGGGTTCTGTCTTTCTATTTATTTGTTTATCTTTAAATATGAACTTATTTTGGAATAAGTTGTACAAAAATATTAATTTTTCTTTAGAAAAACTATTATAGTTGATTTTTAAGTTTTTATTTATTATTTAATAGTTTTATTTTCATTTAAAAAATTTATGCACTTATGAAATACTAAACCCATTTTTTTATTATTTTGAACAAGTTGTTTTTCGTATCATTCTTCATACAATTGAATATTTGAGTACCATTTATAATAACATAAAAATTATTGATATATAGTATAATAAAATAAGAATGTGATGATGTGAAAAATCTTGTAAAAAAAGGAAATCTTGTAATTCAAAAAACTAGATCATTTTATTTTCCCGTTTCTATTTGATATCTTATATAAACAATTATTATATAAATAATAAAATGACATTTTTTATTATATGGTATTGACTTTATTATAATGAATAAATATAAATTGTTATTTAACTTTGATTTATACAATCGAAATATTTTTTAAATATCTCACAACAATTTGTTTTTCATACCATTTATGTTATAGATAAAATAAATTAATAACCAATTTAATTAAAATTAATAACTATGTGTTTTTACTATATATATATAGTATTATTAAACCATTAAATCTTGTTTAAAACCCAAATGAAAAACAACATTTTTACATATCAAACACAACAAATTTCAGTTGTGGCTTCTCAAGTTGAGTCTTTAATTCCCCAACTTTACTCTGAGAGTGCTGGCATTCTTCGACAGTCTTAAGTAGTTGTTTTGTGTTTTTCAGTAATTCAGAGTACTTTGAGTATTGTTCCTCGTACCTCTTCTTTTCCAACAAGAACTCATCTCTCAGCCTCTTTTTCGACTTTCTGACAGTCTCTTTGTTGCGGACTCTCTTGTCGATTTTTTTAATAAGAGCAATTTCGCTCTTGCAAAGTGGTTCGCCTCTCCCTTTCAGAGCCTTAAGATAACAACGGAATTCTGTTTTTGACATTTTAGTAAGAAACTTCTCAGGAAGAAGTTGGTTGAAATCCACATCGACTATTTTCTCCTCCGTTGTGTTATACAACCTGAAGAGAAACGCAGAGGGCACTTTGCTGCAAGTTATCTTGGTCATAAACCCAAGCTTTTTTGCAGTTCTTCTTATTGTGGTTGAACGTTGAATTCTATTTCTGGAGAACCTCCTCTTCCTTTCTTTCTTTTTTCGAACCTTTTACTGTACTTTTATGTTTTTGTTGCAGTTTGTTTATCGGAGGGTGAGTTGACACTTTCCTCGCTCCAATTGGCATTAATTGGGATTTCATCACAAAGCATTACCGTTATATTTTAGTATTATATTTTATTATATATTTACTATCATCTCCTATATCAAAAAAGCTTGTTGGCACTTCTATTTTTTCTTAAATTGTCTTCCTTCGAAAAATCTTCATCGCTCTATCGAACAAAAAGAAGCAAAAAACCTACCAATCGAACAAAATAGAATCTTGTCCGACATCTATTTTGAGAAAAAAGCACAAAATACGAAGTATTTTATTAATTATTGCATTTATACTTTTATTAATAATCGGTCATCATCATTAAAATAAAATAATAGTAATTATTATTATCATTATAGTTCCCACAAACTCACCATTTTATTCAAAATCAAATACTATTGGAGAATTAAAAAAGTAAATAATTAATAGTAAACGTAATAAAACTATTCAATTATAGCTATTTTACTATTAGTTACTGGTTTTCTTGTTGTTTTGGAAAGCGAAAACACGAAGTAACTCATCAAAGGACTTTGACTTTGAGAGGGATGCGTTCAAAGCGACAAGTTCCTTTGGAGTCTTTTGTTTTCTCCACCGTCCGGAAGGCATCTCCATATTGTACTTCACAATTTGCATCGCCACAAACTTCGTTTTCTTGAAGCTCAGTTTCTCCAGTGTTGCGCGATTTATGAAGTCTAACAGCGTGAGTTGTGTCTTTTCAAAGTCGAACTTGTAGTCACATCTTTGGTCTTGTTGGAATATGTCGATGTTTGCTGCTGCGCCACGGCCAAGTAAAAATCCCTTCACGTTCTTCGTCTTGTCGGGAGCAAATTTATCAAAGTCACTTTGACAACACAAGTCGCCATTAATAAATAAAGGAGATGTTATAGTGTTACTCACTTTAATTAACTCATCCCAGTCACAATCGAAGTCATATAACTGACCATGCTTTCTGCCATGGAGTGTTATCATACAAACACCAAGGGAATATAACCATTGAATGAATGAGACGGTCTCTTCACTTGTGTTTTGAAGGCGAATTTTACACGAAATGGGTTGCCCTAATGGAACAAGTGCTTTAATAATACTTTCTAATTTACTCCGATCACTAACTAAAGCCTGTCCCATCCCACCTTTGGTACTAAATGACATCCCACACCCTAAATTGATATCAACACCACATACCTCTTTCACTAATTCAACACTTTTCACAGTCGTTGCTACATCATAGGTCCCAAGTTGTAATATCGTTTTGTCACGCTCAGAAACCTTTAACGTCAACATAACATCATCTTTGTCTTTGTATTTCACGTACCCATCTTCTTCAACACGAATACATTGACACAACCGTTTACTAATTAATTCCTCAGTAAAGACTGCATCTGCACCATGCTCTAAACACATCGTTCGGTATGATGAAAAGCACTGATATGTTATTTGACTACTGTTATTATTAAAACTGACAACCAACAAACAATTCCAACCATCGGCGCTAATACTCTTTTCTGTTTGTCACCTTCCCACCACTTCACTTGTTGTGCCATCTTATTATTTTGTTTAGTTCTTTCTTTTATTTCACACTTTTTATTATTATATATTATTATATTATTATATTATTATATTATTATATTATTATATTATTATATTATTATATTATTATATTATTATTATACAAACTTCTATTGCATGACAAAAAAACCAAAAAGAGAAGTTGCGTTGTTTTCATTTTTTACCTTCGATGGAATCCATCATGGCTAATAAAGGACCATCAGGATTAACTCTCTTAGTGTAGTAGCATGTTCTATCAATTGGCATTGAGACAAAGTTTCCGTTGTGATGACAAATGACAAGCCCAGTTTTTCCAGCCATGGCGACATGAACTGCTGCGTTAGACAAACACATACAGAATTGTGCGTCTCCTGATGTACACTTTGATGCTCGGATCATGTAACTTGGGTCGACAAATTTGAGGTTATACTCGATGTTCTTTGCAGAGAGGTACTTCCCTATTTCTTGTCTCAAATAAGTAATCGCGTCCCAATGAATAATGTTACCCGACTTATCAACTCCCATGTCGAGGTCTTTAGGCTTTTCGTTTTGCATCGCGCCTTCAGCAACGACGATAACGATATGTCCATGAGACGTGAGTCTCTTTTCTACAAACGCGCAAATGGTCTTGATGGGAACATCTTTCTCGGGTATAAGAACCATATTGACATCTCCGTTCGCCAAAGACGCATTCAACGCAATAAATCCTGCATCTCTTCCCATCAGTCTCACTAATCCAATCCCATTCTTCGCACTTTTCGCTTCATTATGAATCGTTTTAATGGCTTCTTGAGAAAGCCCAACAGCAGTCTGGAAGCCAAAAGTAGTGTCTGTGTAACTGATATCGTTATCTATAGTCTTTGGAATACCAACTACTACTATAGGAACCTTCAGAAGTCTAAGTTCTTTATTAATCGCGTTTGCTCCCTTCAGTGTTCCATCTCCTCCTATAGTAAAAAGTATATCAAATCCGTTGTCGATCAGAAATTGAGCCATCAATTTGGGGTCTTGCGCACCACGAGACGTTCCTAAGATGGACCCACCATTTTGATGGATGTCTCCAACCAAATCGGGAGTGAGGCGTAACACTTCACTGGTCTCGGGGTTCAATCCTTCATATCCCCATTTGAGACCAAACACGTTGGTGACATTATATCGATTGTACATATTCAATACAATACCACGAATGACGTTATTCAGTCCAGGGCACAACCCTCCACATGTCACAATAGCTACTTTAGTCTTCAGTGGGTCAAAAAAGATGTTTTGAGTCGGTCCTGCTAGTTCGACCTCCTCTTCACTGCGCAACATCCCTTTCACTTTAACGGCAGACAACTTCATTTTCATGCCATCGACAAACGGCTCCGGACTGGCAAACTTGTTCTCTATGGTTGGAGTACCAACACTTTCAACTGTCAAAGGAGGAACCGGTTCTAATGGGTTCTTTGGAAACAACACGTGGTCACGTCGGTATATCGCCATTTTGTGTTTCGAGTTTCGAATTGCGAAGTATTTGTTATTATTGGTATTAACTTCGACTTTTCTTCTTTTTTTCTGTACATTCTTATAGTTCTTTATTAATAAATGTATTATACATTTAAACTAGATGGCATATCACAAGTTATGGTATTTTTAATGGTTAAATACTATACATTTATAGTATTTATATCAAATGAATCACAAAGTAATTGTTGGGTTAATTTTGAGTGACTTTATCATCCTTTCGGCTGGTCTAAAGCACCAAGCAGCTCCAAATAAAGTGAAACGTGTGTTTTGATAGAACATATGGAAGTTCGACTTATTTTTCTGAATGATGTGAATTTTGACAGGAGTTGTTTGTGAGGCTAAGACGATTGTGTTCTTCGACTCGAACACACATATTCCTTCAGCTCCAAATAAATTTGGGTTTTTCGACTGGAAAACACGGAGACGTGCCCCTTGAATTTCGCATTTCGTGATTGAGTCAAGTCCTTTTTCAGGTATATATATCTTCGATATATAGTTTTCCCACAATTGGTTCATCGAGTTTAATATATTTGGGCTATTATGTTAAGCTCTTATTGTAATATTATGTTATATAGTTTAATATAGTTTAATATTTATTAAACAAACTTAAGCTTTTCAAAGTCTTTCTTTAAATTGGCGACATTAGAAGGGCGGCGCATTGGCTTAGTTGCATCCCCATTTTTCTTGAATTCAATGAATTTTGGTAAGAGAAGAGCGGTACTTATATCCCTGACTGCTCGATCTTGTAAAGATTTAGGAACAGTTTTTGGTACGTATTCTGTGAGCTTTCCTTGTCTGTCTTGTTTAAGCTCGTAGTTTGAACCAATAATTGTTTTGTAAGGCCTGTATTTGTTAGACATTATACAATTATTAGGTTATAAGTGTTTTTTCAATAATTCTATATTTCAAAATTCTGACTTTAACGATAATTATCATTATATAGTTTATTTATTATATTAAAGAAATTTATTAGTAAATAGTTTTTTTATTATACTTATACTAATAACAGTAAATATCAATAAAAATACAATACAGTAAATTATTTATAATTATTATTATTAACCAATAGTTCAAATTTCGGTTGTTTTTGAACATTTGAGTAGTTTCAAAATACGAAAAAACCAACAGAACTTGACAATCTCGAAAACATCAAAAGATGAGTGTGTCTGATTTATTTTCACAATTGAAGGCTGACGGCGATATTCAGAGTATTGTGCAACTTTCAAGAGAGTATTTTATACCTGCAGAGTTGAGATCTGACGTGTATGACTACGTTTTACCAGAAGTTGAGTTTAAAGAAGTTAAGACAGAAAAGGACTTAGGCGAGTTAATACATCTTAATGAATTAATAACGAAATATGGACTGGATCTAAGTAAATTAGAAGAAGCCAAAAAGATATCACAGTTCTTAATAGAAGGGGATTGCAAGTATTACGAAGATGTAATTCTTTTGATTCTAATTATCGAGAAATTGACGAATCACATGGATATCCACTTCATGCAACGAGTCTTTAAGTGCTTCATGCCGTTTGCTGGAAATTTGCAAGCTCGAAATTGGCATGGAATGATGACACTGACACATATGGCACTCTTGTACTTCTCGCCGTCGTCTACAATTCATGTTGATAAATTGAAAATAACGACGGACGTCATTTTGAAGCATTTGGTATTCTCATTGTGCATTAGACTCTGTGACGATTTTGAAAGTGTTTGCATGTTACTTGATGCTCTTGTATTGGAACAGAACCCAACACTAATTTTTCATATAATGCTCGTGTACTTTGAACATATTTCAAAGGAAATTGAAAAAACTCAAACCACTGAAGAAGTCATCAAAATGATAGAGAGCACAACATTGAAAGCAAATGATATGAAGTTGTTGATATCATTGGCGAAGTGCTCGTTAATTAAAACTCCGAATGCATTTAACGGACTTGTCGCCGGATGCTTTACCAATAATTTGGCATTTAGAAATTGGTATGCCAAATTCATAGGAGAGTCATTTGTGATGACGCTGACCCCACAAGATGTCACACTCTTTTTAGAGAAAAAGGAAAAAATTCAATTTATTGACTTTAGGACTGCGGAAGTCTTTGGGTTTGGGCATTTAAAAGGTGCGTTGAACATTCCTTATGCTGAGAATTGGAAGGAAGAAGTGCAGAAAACCACTGAAAAAATTGAAAAGAAGAACATTATAGTTTTGTACAACAGTGGAGAGAATGGGGGCATAACAACAAAGGAAATGGCTGTTGCGTGTTATCAGTTCTATACCAAAGGATTTACAAAGGTTGGGATTCTCTTTTCTGGGTATAAAGGATATCATAAATTTTTCAATGAAGGGGCAGCTGGCTTTGAGATAGAGGCGCACAGTACATTAAGATGCCCCGTTTGCCTTGGAGTGACTGGAGGGTTTTTCTTACGCATTAAAAAGGAGGAGAAGGACAATGAAGAGAAAAAGGAAGAGAAAGTAGTAGAGAGTGTTGGTGACAAGAAAGAACAAAAAGTAGAAGAACAAATACAAGAAAAAGGTCAAGTTCAAGCAAAGGAAAGTAATGAAGAGAAGAAGGAAGTGATGCAAAGCGAAGTAAAACCAGAAGAAGAAAAAGTCGAAGACAAAGAAGACGACGGTAAAATTAAAACCGAAGGAACACAAAAGAAATCAAGATGGGGAAGTGCTATTAGACAAACCCTCCGATGGTTTACCGAGCCAACAAAAGACGAAGTTAAAGACGATAAAATCGAAAACAAAAAAGAAAACAAAAGTGAAGAAGGCGAGAAGCAAGAAGGACAAAAAGAAGAAGAGAAGCTTCAACCTGAAAAAAAGGAAGAAAAACACGAAGAAAATGCAACTGAAAAGAAAGAGGAGAAAAAAGCTGTTCCACAATTGAGTACAGATGAAGTGGTTGTCGACACAACAGTGCTGAAACAATCTTTAATGAGCTTTTTAACTGGAAAGCCAAGAGAAAAAGTAGTTGAAAAGTCGACTGAGAAACCCGTGGAAAGTGAAGCAAAGGTTGAAAGCACTCAACTTCCACAAGAAGAAGAGAACAATACCAACGAAACACCAAAAGAAGAACAAGAAAAAGAAATTAAGAACAACGAAATGAAAGAAAACTTATTAACTGAAGTTAAAGACAAAAATTTGAAAGAAGAAATTAAAGTCGAAGCAAAAGAAGAAGAAAAGGGGACGGAAGTAATGAAAGAAATTAAAACAGATGAGCCAAAACAAGAAGAAACTAAAGAAGACGTCAAGCATATAGCAAAAGAAGAGCCTTTAATCGTTGAAAACACTAAAGAAGACACAACTAAACAAGAAGAAGCTCAAATCAAACAACTTGAAGAAGAAAGACTTGCAAAAGAAAAGTTCAACAAAGAGAAGATGGAGAAAGAACAAAAAGAAAAAGAAGAGAAAGAAGCTGCTTTACACAAAGCACAAGAAGAAGAACGCAAAAAAGCCGAACAGCGAAAACAAGAGGAAGAGCGCCTTGCAAAAGAAAGAATAGCCAAAGAAGCCTTAGCCAAAAAGCTTGAGGAAGAGCGTCTTCTAAAAGAAAAAGCCGAAAAAGAGCGACTTGAGAAAGAAAAGAAAGAGCGCGAATTAGCCGCCAAAAAGGCTCAAGAAGAAAAAGAACGTAAAGAGAAATTGGAGAAGGAGCGACTTCTCAAAATAGCTCAAGAGAAGGAGGCAGCTCTTAAAAAGGCTGAAGAAGACCGTATCGCAAAGGAGAAAGCCGAGAAGGAACGACTTCTGAAAGAGAAATTAGAGAAGGAAAAACTCGCCAAATTAGCCAAAGAAAAAGCCGAGAAAGAGGCAGCTGCTAAAAGAGCAGAAGAGGAGCGTCTTGCTAAGGAAAAAGTCGAGAAGGAAAAACAATTAAAAGAGAAGCAAGAAGCCGAGAGAATAGTCAAAGAGAAAGCCGAGAAAGAGCGTCTTGAGAAAGAACGGATTGAAAAGGAGAAGGCTATTGCAGCAGCCAAAAAAGCAGAAGAAGAGCGTCTAGCAGAGGAAAAGCGTAAAAAAGAGGAAGACCTTAAAAAAGCAAAAGAAGCTGAAGTAGCCAAAGCGAAGTCGGCAAACGCATATTGTGAAGAATTGATGAAGACAAATAAACAATTTAAGTGTGTCAGGTGTAAAGGGAAAACAAAACAAGACGGCGTTTGTCTCGTCACGAAAGATGCCATTTTCGTGTTGCTTGAAAACAATGGAGAATGGGCCATAAAAGACCAAGTCATGTTAGCGGATGTCACACAAATTGCGAAAATTACGAAGATTAAAGGACAGATCAGAATCAAATATGGAGGCGGGGAGAAGGAGAAACACATCTCCCTTAACTTGGGTGACCTTTCTGATGAGTTGATTAAGGAAATCAATTCTAAAGCAGTCTAATTCATTTTTACTTGTTTCTTTGAACTTGTTTGACTCATACATAGAACCAATTTCGACATTTTGATATCTCGAAAATACAATGAAAACCATCTACATCGTAAGACACGGCGAGACACCAATCAACAAAGAGAAACTGATCCATGGGAGGACATTCAAACCCGATTGTACACTGAGCGAAAAAGGGTTCACACAAGCAGAGGAGTTTTACGAAGCACACAAAGACTTGAATATACAACACATCTTCACCTCGTCACTCCTTCGTTCACAACTGTCCGTCAACAAATTCCTTGAAAAGTATCCACACACTGCTTTAAAGGAATTCGATGAAGTCGATTTTGGTGAAGCCGAAGGTAAAACAATTTTCGAAAATGGGGTATGCAGACTCGACCCAGCTTTTAACGAGTGGGCTAAAGGTAATTACGATGCAAAGATGCCGCGCGGACAGTCGATGAATGAAGTCATCGAAGAACAAAAACGTGGTATGGAAATAGTCACAAACACACCAAGTGACGTTCTCATCGCCTCCCACCGTCGCGCAATTGTCATTTTTCTCAGTTGGACGCTCCAAATCCCGTACAACAAAGCGATGTCCATTGAAGTTCGCAACCTTCAAATGTTCCGCATAGGCTTTGAAAAGTCCACAAACACCTTTGTCGACATCGACAACATCGCTACTCAATGCAACACCACAAACAAAAATTTCAATAACATTTTCAATTGATGGAAAATGTTATATAAAACATTTTTGAAGTTTACGTCCACTTTGCAACTCAATCAATGTAGTCCAGTTCGTTTGGTATCCCAAGCGCCTTGTTAAGCTCGGTTGGCTCTGCCCCAACAGCCTTTGATTTTGCGTATGATTGCACGTTGAATATAGCGTCCGTCCATCTATTTGCGGCCTCCTTAGCTTTTGTACAGTCGTTAGTCAACTTTTCGATGACCTCGGGGTCGTTCTCCTGTTGTGTTTTAATGGTTGTAGTTAACTCCTCACGCTTCTGTTTGAGTTGTTCGAGTTGTTTGATATTGGTGCCTCTGTCATCATCACCTTTCCTTTCCTTTTTCAAAGCTTCATTTTCTTCTTTCACTTTTTGAGTCTTGTCTTTCGTCTCATCGATTTTGGTTTGGAGGTTCTCGCACTCAGTTCGCCGCTCGACGATCGACGCAGACGGAAATGCCCAAAAGAAATTTGAACTTCCAATTTTGTCCGTCATAATCTTCCCATCCCCAACTAATTCTTTGACAACTTCCTCAACAGTCTTTGCGACGATCCCTATGTGTTATATCTGTTATAATTCTTGTGCTTTGTATATTCAATCGTAGTTTTACTACTACAAACCTTTTTCTTTGCTGGCTACTACCTCAAGCTCTTTAAGGAGAAAAACGTCCTTTTTGTCTTCTAAAAGCTCCTTCATCCGCCTCAGTTTCTCCTCTTTCGACACAGCCTTCTTGGCCATCTACGTTATGCTTTTTAAAGTCAAGTTCTCACTTTCTTTTTTGAGATATTCGTCAATCTTAAGAATCTATATTTTTATAGTAATTTTACAGTCATTGAGTTGTATTGTGTTTATTAATAATTTAATACTTAAATTTAATAATCATATTAAACTCTTTGAATTCAAGGATTTAAAAATAATAATATAAATATTAATATATGAATGGTTTATCAAAAAAGAAGTAAAACTCAAATAAAATAAAAGTGGTGGAAAGAGAATGTGTTTAGGAGCAAAAAAAGAGGAAAGGAGAGATGGAAAAAAAAGAAAAAAATAGTGACATCGATCCTTTTGTCTTGAGGCTAAATGACGCTGTGAGCTCACCCGAAAAGGTTTTCGAATACGACCAGACGAAGGGCGCACTCAAACTCGCGAAACCTGAAATGTTGTCCGAGCTCAAAGACCCAACGCTCACAGAAAAAACTGTGCAACGGAAGATGAGTGCTTTTGGGTTCAAGAAAAAACGGATCGATGGAGTGGACTACTTTTTTAATGCCTTTTTCAGGCCGAACGACAGAAACTCGCTTTCAAAGGTCAAAAACCGCAAGAGCGAGCTTATAAAGAAAAGAAAAAAATGCAAATCCGAAACTGGGTCTTTTATTTCGAGCAGAAAGGCTTCTGAGGTGTTGGAAACAAGCGAACAACCCCAATTGTTGTCTTATACGCAACCCACATTTTTCGGTCAACAAATCGTACCAGACTCGGTAGAACAGCTTGGTATTGTCCAACAACAACCCCTTTACTTTGTTCAACAGCCACCAATCATCCAAGGACAGCGAGAGGCACTCGAGATGGAATTAAATATGCTCAACGAACGTGTGTCAAAACTGGAAGCCGGCAATCGAATGCTCAAAAACTTGATTACAAACAGTGAGTATGAAATGTTGGGCATTTGTCAAGTCGTTGACGAGATTACCGAAAATGGGCGATTCCACTGACCAAAAACAAATTGGAAATACAGAATACAATTAATTTAGTGTTGAAAAGAAGCTTTGTGGTTCGAGAGGAGGAGCTGTGTGCCAGGCGTGACCTTCTCATAAAGCATCATTGCGTATATGACGTCCTTCTTGAAGACGGGGTTAAGCCCGGCATACTCAGCCATGTGCGCCACAAGTGGCTCAATAAATTGGTCATTTTCGATGTGCACTTTCTTGTCGATTCTAAGCCAAACGATGTTCAGTACAAAATGGTAGTGCGACGAGTTTGCCATCACTTGTGTAAGTCTTTGGTCTCCCAGAAAATTTGGAGCAGTGTAAAAATCGTTCAACAATCTATCTGTCTGCAAGTGCGCATTTTTCCGAATGAAAAGTGAGAACGGAAGAGAAATAGAAGGGGCAAGTGGGAGAAATGGATTACAGAGAAATGGAGTTTTAGCGTAGTCATTGAACATGGCAATGAGCATTTTTTGCATAACAAGTTGCGTTGGGTGTTCTGTCTCGTATTTTCGGAGGAACGTGATGTGCTCCAAATAATGTTTTATAATATGTGGATTGTAGTTCAATAGCCACACAAAGAGGACAATCTCATTTCTGTTTGTTTGGAGTTTTTTTACGACATCGAAGACATCGCACTTCTCCGTCTTTTTCCACAAATTGTGAAATGCGATGATTGACGAAATTTCTATGATAATTCCCTTGTGTGGAATTTCAAGTGGAGGTGGTAAACAGGTGAATGGATCTTTCACATTGTTTTTTAGAATTGGAGTGAATGAATATATAACATCGAATGAACGAATATTGAGTGAAAGCGGTACGGGTATTAAATATGAATATTCGAGTAGTACGGGGATGTTTTGTACTTTAAAGAGCGATGGGAGAAAGGTGTTGACGGCTGCTTTTGGTATAGTCTGAATTTGTTTCAAAAATAATTGCAAAGTCTTTGGGTCAACAGAATCGATAACATGTTCAAAAAAGTTAACACAAGAGCTGTATTGTCCTTTTCTAAACGCAACGTTCATGTTGAATACAATAAGCAGTGTGTTGAGCAAAAAATTGAACAAATTGGTTTCTTTACTGAACCATTGCAATTCATTTTCAATTACATAAAACACGTTAGTGCACCGAAGTAACGCGACTTTGAGACTTGGATGTGGGATATTATGTAGTGATGGGTTAATAATAACTTTAAGAGTATCAATGAGTATTTTGAAAAACGTCATTTTGTCGCTTCTGAAGTCGGTGTAGATCGTTGTGTCAAAAGGGATTGTTGCGTATAACTCGTACAACACATTCTTAAACACATCACATTTTGAGACCAACTGGAGTAATGGTGATGAGTCTGGGTGGTATAACAATGGCAGAAAAATGAAGTAACTAATCACCTGAACTTGTGTTTTTGTGAATGTCAAGTGTTTATTGAACAGTGGTTCAAAAGGGCATTTTTTCTCTTTAAATATCACCTTCCCGATAAAGTACCATATTTTAGAAATACCAAATAATTTCCCAAGTTCTTTTACAAATACTTCGAAATCGGTATTGCAGACTCTGAACATTGATTTGTTGATAAACCTCAAAGTGTATGCAACCAATTTAGTGTTTTCTAACATGTCTTGTGCCTCTTTGTTTCGATCTTTTGTTAGGATAAAGTCTTCAATCTTATTGTGGCGTTGACAGCACCGAAATTCTCCTTTATAAAACATACCACATTGGCACATGCACGTTCTCTCCACTTCTTGTATTCGGTGTTTTTGATGAAATTCGAAATCAAAGCAGTCTTTACAATATTTCACAGATCCCTCAGAGCATGTCAAACACGTGTAGTATTTAGTAACTGGTAATAAACAGTAACACGATTTTGAATTCTTCATCAACTTTTCAAAGGTAAAATTTGCATTGAATTTCTGAAGAAATGTGTCAATAGACTTTCCGTTTGCCAAACTGTTTTGGACAACGTAAACGTCTTTTTGGTTTGGAACAATCACTGAAGCATCATCCATTGTGTTTTTAAGTGTTTTCTTTGTTTTTTAACATCAATTTTAACAATTTTTAGTCAAAATAATTTTAATTATTTACTTTAACAATTTGTTTGAGTAATTAATTAATAATTTTTAAAATATATTGTATTAGTAATTTCAATAGTATTATATATCATTGAATTGAATATTAATTTTATAATATTTTAATTAGAATATTTACTATAAATGATCAAAAAAAAACAAATAAATTATAATAGAAACAACCATAAAATAAAAACAAGAGCCAAATTTCATAATAAATTAAAGTGGTCGAGTGACTCCAAATTTATTACCACCATAGTGGTGGAGTGTGAGAAGCTCATCTGGAGTGTCTTTGTCGCATGTGTATATCGAGTCTTTGAAAAACGTTGGATCTGCTGAACACGCGACAGTCTTTCCAACAATAAGTTTTGATCCATCTTCAAAAGGAGTTACACGCTCCACAGTCATCTCGATACAACATGCAGCTTCTTCGATTCTGAGGGGGTGCTCAAACTCCTTTGAAACACATGGAAGCAAATGGAAATTTGTGAGTGGGAATTTGTCAACTTCATTTCCATGTTTTGAACCAAATGTAATAACATCTGCCATAGAACGCTTGAGTGGCACATTGATGACAAATTTGTTTGTTTTCAAAACGCATTGAAGAGTATGCGAGAGTGGTCCAAATTTAACCATAGCAGTGAAACGTGAAAGTGGCATATTCCATTGACAAGCCATGCCTGTGGATCGTTTATTCTCTTCGTCATAAGCTGTGATAATGATCACTGGGCCGTGGTTAATGATTCTTGAAGTCGCGTCGGTATTAATTTCTTGCATTAGATTAATTAGTTTTACAGAGTTTATTTAATAATTTTTACAGAATTATTGGGGACAGACTTTATTGAATACAAAAAATTAATATTTTTAAACTTATCTGTATATTATAATTTCGAACTGTATTATATATTAGATTTATACTACTTTATTATTAAATAATAATTATAATGATAAAAGATTTTTATTAGTATATGTATAGTGAGTTATAATAATAATTAATTATAATATTATTTTTATAATTAAATATATCATATGTTTTTAATTAAATTTTTTTATTATTAAGAAAATTAAACTTAATAGTTATTTTTAATAACAAAAATTATAAAAATAAAAAAAAATATTTATACTCAAATGTTTTAAATTGATAATACAAAAATTAAAATATATTTTTTTAATTCGCCAAATTGTTTATATATTATTTATTATTGTTGAATTGATCTTATATAGAATTCTAAACTAATTAGAATAATTTTGTGTTCGAATAAAGAGTAAAAATATTTACAAAAAAAATGGTGAGTTTTGTTTTAATCAGGTAACACAAATATCAACGAGTATGAATGAAAGTAAACAATAACAACATGATAAATACATCTAAAATGCATTTTAAGCTTTGTATTAATCAAAACCGAGTGAATTTTGAATAAATTTTGTATAGTATAAAAATGAAGAAAATACAATAATAATAATTTAGACTAATCGAGTCAGTTTCTTATTAATATTTTTTTTCAAAAAAACGTATTTTTTAATATAATCAATTAAATAATTGCACATTTTAATTTAATAATGTTTTTGTTCTTATTATAAATTATAATTACTTTGTAATTGAATAGATTTAATTATTCTAAAAAATCAACTTATTTACACCACTTTAAATTAAAAAGTAATAAATTTATTTTTAAAAAACATTGGCAATTAATATTGTACACAAATAATTATAAACAACATTTTATAATTGATCAGACTGGTGAAAAAATGGTCATTGGTCATCAGTTAAATAATAATCAATTAATACACATTATTTATTTTATTTAAATCATTTTGAACATAATTCCAAAACTCATATGATTTAAAACTTCGCAATATAAACGACAGCTGGAAATATAAATCGAATGAGCTTGTTTATGATAAGATATTTATAAAAAATGAAAACATTTGGAGCTATTAAAGATAATTTACACCGTGTTTCAATGTGTAAATAATTAATTATATCAATATAAATCAACTAATGATTGTTTGTACACAGTTTATTTCATGTTTTTATTTAATATCGAGTTAATCATGTTATTTACAAGAAAAAAATAATAACCATTTTAATTAATGTTTTGCAGCCAATATTTTATGTGTTAAAATTCGTTAATTTAATATTATAAATTAACGAATTTTTTAGAATTTACAAGTTGATTAAAAAGACATTTGGTTGTAAATTTTATATTTTAAAAATTAATTTTGTTGTTAACAAAATAGTGCCAAATAATTAAATTTTGTTTTTAAGAAACATATATTGGTGATTGTTTTTTGTTTTTTACTTGAAAGATGAAGAATATTGATAATTAATTTTGTTGTTTTAAGTCTTACAATTAATTGATTATTTTAATTAAATAATTGAAAAACAATATATATCGTCAAAGACTATGTGTTGAAAAAGTAAAATGAACAAATTTAAGGTTAAATAATGCATTTTTACAAACAATAAATGAGTAGTTAAACATTATTAATTAATTATTATCCTCGGAAATAGGCAATTATAATTTATTATATATAAAAATATCGCAAACAATTGTTTTGTTATTTGGAACGTGTTGATGAAATAATAGATATTTTTAACTCAATTATTCGAAAAACCATTTATTTTTGTTAACTTTTAAAACAAACTGTGTTCATAAGTAAAAAATCATTTAAAAACTATAATTTTATAATAAAATATTTATTTTCAATACATTTCAACAAAACAAGTAAAATATTTTTGTTTAAAATATTGAAATGATTGGCACTTTAAATAATAAAAAAATTAAAAAAATATAAAAAGCATCGTGTGTAGAAATCCAAATATAATCGAAAGGTTGTGGTTTGTCGTTTTAAAACTATTATTGTATATAAAAATTGGCAAACATTTCAACTATGTGCAGTGATTTAAAAAACGATCAACACCCGAATTTTCATATAATAAAACTACCCAGATTTTGTTAAAACTACTCAGAGATTATTTGTACATGTTGTAACAAAATAAGGAAAAAAACATGGAAATTGCAGATAATAATTAATCAATAATAAACCTAATATAACAGGTTTATGAAGAACTCCAACAACATTTAGATGAGTTGCAAAAAGAAAACCAAAACAACACAGGACAAACAAGAGGAGCGTAACACTCAAGTCGAACTTGAATGTGTTCTCCTCGCACTCCTTTCGTTGAAGTACTCCTTTACAATATCCAAACCACAGAAAAAAGCAGAGAACACCAAACTCTTTATCAAGGTGAAGAGTGTCAAAAAGAACAATGACACGTTTGTTTTTGACCTTCAACAATTCGTTAAACTTCAGACGTCACAAATCTATCACTCAATGACTGAATCTGGCATTAAACAGAAAACCGCATTCCGTCGTACACAGTCGAACAAACGGAGTCAAGTCGTTCATTTCTTCGAAGACCTACTCTTTGAAGAAGGCTTTCTTGTGATGTACAAAAAGTTCAACAGGGAAGGTGTTGTTGGTGATCTAAATATATACTACAATCAGAGGATCATGTTAAATAAAATACAAATACGACAGATTGGAAACACAGTGTGGAGCTACTTGATGGAGAAACAAAAACGGACAAACACCTTTGAAATCAAGAATGAGGAACTCCTCCCATTCTTGTATGGAAACATGGAGCCCCAATTGTAATTTTTTATATTTAATTTGTATTGAAGGAAATTATTGTTTTAAATGTCTACCATTTTTTTGAACCAAAAAATCATAATTTTATTCTGGGTGTTTTCAGAGCAAATTATCTTTTTTGGTAAAGTTTCTAATAGCAATAAACACCATCTCAAAAAATTGGAAATAATAATGTAATTCTTCAACTCAATAATCGTTCCATTTTTAATTTATTTAAATTATTTTTATTAATTATTGTGTTCTTTTTTACAATTTGCGTAGTTATGGGTATAATTATATTATATCAAGATAATTGTTTTAAAGTGACTTTATGATTTCCCTATTATAAAGGGAAAAATAAAAAGGGTATAAAAATGTATTTTTTTATAGAAAAGAACACATAAAAATAACATCTTAGTAATAAACTAAAAAATAATTATGTAGTTTTAGTGTTAACACGTTTTGTATTTGGTTTAATTATAGTATATATTATAATAATAAAATAATTTTTATTAATACTTTTTTTGTAACACAAATAAAATTTATGTAAAAAAGAGTAATTAAAACTATTTTTAAAAAAGTGTGTAATATAATAACATTTTATTTTTATTTTTTTTTGTAGTTTTTCTTTTTATTTATAAAAAATAATTACAATAATAATTATTATAATTATTTTTCGATTGGAACTTTAATATTAAACTATTAAAAATGGTTATATTATGAAAAATAATATATTGTAATATTATATACT